TTCCACTTTCCAAGGAATTATTTGTGATTCCCCTTGCCGTAGTTGCAATTTCAGTCATCTGAATTAATCGCCCACCATTAAGGGCTATATAAACACACAGGCCCATGGATGAGCGATCAATTAATTTGAGCCCGTCGAGATCCTGTGATCCTTTCTATGGGACAGACACACGCCCAGGCAATTTAATGAGCTGCTGACAATGGGCCGGGCCTTCAGTGCCCACAATCTCGCCTCGGTTTCTCATTCACTTCATCCACTCAAGAAAAATAATATCAATTTCAAGTGGATAATGACAAAGTTAAACACTAAAAATAGTTAAGGAGGAATTATTATAATGTTAAATAAAAGGAGTGGTATATTCTATACTTTAATTTATGCTTAAAAACAGAATGGGACACTGTTTTCCTTCATGATTTATGATATTATTGACATATTTTTAGCATTTTATATATTTATTCTTTAAGAACACCATAAACTCCTATCAAGTCAATCAAATTATTAGATAAATTCCTAGATCTTGAATACCTTTTCTTTCTGTGTAAGATTAGGAATAGAAATGGTTAGAGGTTCAGGTCTTGAAAATCGGATTAGAGGAGTCGAGTGGTAGAGTGCCTACCGTTTCGGGTCTCAAGTGCGGACCTGCTTCAATTTCCCGGCTCAAGTGTGCGGGACATCATTTTTCAAGACTTACATGAAATTGACTAATTTTCGAGTCAGCGCCGCTGCCGTCGTCTCTCCCGCCGCTGGCGTCTTGAAATGCACCTACAAATTTTTACCTGTCAGCTGAGCTGCATCCCGCTCTTACCCATCAAGATTGGGTGACATTACCGGAGTGCAGGGATATGGGAAAGAGAGAGAGAGAGAGAGGAGCGACGGCGGACCATTGCCCATTGATGAAATTGACTTTTTATGTTGTTGCCGTTGACTTCTTGCCGCTTCTCTGTCGCAGTCGCAGTCGCTGTCGCAGTTGACGTCAACGCCAACGCCTGGAACTGGATCTGGATATTTGGGATTAAGTTTTTGTTTACTTCGAGGGGTTTTTTAGTTTGTTTGTTCGCCTCAAGGAAGTCGGATCGTTGTGCTCTCGCTCTCTGAAAAATAAAACCTAAAAAAAAAAAAAATAAAATAAAAACAAAAGCCCCGGAATCGGTTAAGTGGTCGTAAATGGATTAAACCGAAATTTATCGCTTTATAGGCCACATTAATCAAATGTCTTACAACAAGGCCCATAAAATGCCATATAAATAATAAACAAATTTCGTGTAAAAGTGCAATAAAACATTTCAGAGCTTGTTGCAATTAATCCGAATGTATTTGTGATACGATTATTTATTTATACTTCCCAACGTCAATATCAATAGCCATAGCTATACAGAATCAAAAATATATATATAACCATATCGGAAGCCCGACCTCAACTTGAACTGAGCTGCGTGCGTGGAACATTAATCATTCTAAAACGAGCTGCGAATTATTTGGCCATAAATCATGGGCATCTTACTGAGTGATGGCGATGTAAGTTTCCTCACGTTTTTCACGTTCTCGTAAATATGTCACCGAACATGTGCTTCAGCTTCTTTTTTTTCGGCTGTCGTATCAAGTTTCCAACTTGAATTGCAGATAATGAGACTATCAATCATAAGAAACTGCTTTTCGATATGATAATAAGATGATGTAATTATTTATAAACGTATCTAGAATAGGTGGTCATCTTTAGGAAAAGCAGTTTTTAAACCCAACTTAAAAGAATGGAACTCATAGTATGAATATTATTTTAAAAATCTTGAAAACAATCCGAAATATGTTTGCCTCTCGGTCATTATCTTTCACCGCAAAATATTTAATCGGATTAATTAGTTCGCATCAAATTTAATAACTCCTTAATCTCTATGCATCTATTAGTTGTAGTAAAATGACTTTCCTCACATAAAATGAGCCTTGACAGGCGGCAAACTTAAATGGCTCCGGCGATTAGGCCAAAACAAAATCCAAAACCGAATCCAACTAACCAAGTTGGAGTAGGAGAAGGCGATGGGGTAAATAAGAGGTAGGAGAAAGCACAGAGAGAGAGCCTGGAATAGCAAAGATCATGAATGAATGAGTCAAGTGGAGTTGGCTGAAGTGGAGAGGAGTGGAGAGTCGAAAACAGGATCCTCCACTTGACGGCAGAGCGCCAGCCTGAGAGCGGGATGCAAACAAGACACAAACACTCAAAGCGCCGCTCATCCTCGTTCTCCACTTATCCTCCGATCCCCTCCCCACCTCTTCCGACTGCTCCTTTTCATCCTGCTTCTGACTGAGCTCTGCGGCTCTGCTCAAGTGGTTTTCTCTGTTTGTTTTTGTTCCTTCATTTGCGGTGACAAATTATTAACGTTATACTTCGTATAGGTTTCGGTATCCTCTTTTGATTCTCTTCTTTAGTGCACTAAGAGAAAATTTACAGTAAATTAATGAATTTAAGAGTTTAAGGTTATTAAGAGGATGAGAATAGAAATTATTCGAAATATTTTATTTTTGTAGACTTTTATTATATATTTTTTAAAAAATTGTTTTTAATAATGGCAACATGTAATTTTTTTAAGTGCACTTTTATGAAATTGATTTTTTATGGCTGTTAATTTGAATTCCTCGCCTCCTTTAAGGGATTTCGCGGCTTGTCCCTTTTGCTGATCGCTTTTTAATAAGCGCCAAAGCGCCCTCTCCCTTTCTCACTCACACATTGTGTTATTACCCATACATACTGGTACGTCATGATCCCTTGGATCTGTTCTTTCATCCATTTGGGCCTTTTGCGCCTGGCTTGTTGACAATTTTTCGTGTGGTCGCCGACTCCTTTGATCTCGCCCAGCAACTTCCACAACGACTCGGACTCCATCGCCATCGCCATCGCATCTCTCACTCGGCGCTCCCTTTGATCGAGTGATCTTCTAAGGGGAGCGACATCATTATGCACGCGTGGTCAACTCTTTGATTGCCCCCGTCTCGCTGTCCCTTTCGCTCTCATGGTTTGATGGAATTTGGGGAATTGCAGCCGAAATTGTTGCACTGATCTTTAAGCCATATTCCCCTCTCGCTCTCACTATTAATTTGTTTTGACAGTTGCGTGTGGAGTATTAAATATTATTGCTCATACGTCACGTTGCACTCAATCAATCTGATTGATTAACCCATAACTTTGTGGAAAATCAAGCTTAAAAGCAAAGAAATTTTATTAACTTTTGAGTTTACATAAATGTTAAATTCTTGCTTTGATATTTTTAATGTAACATTATTTTACTTTAAAATGCTTTTCAATAAATTATCTTTTTGAGCACAAAAGTGTGAATTTAAAGGCCATAAAGTGTAAAAATAAAGTACATATAAAAAATGTATCAGACAATAAAAAAATCATTTTTAATTTGGTGAAGGAATACGAAAAACAGCGTATTGTACTTTAATTAATATGAAATTTAACTTAACAATGTAAAGACTTTTATTTCTATCGTAAAATCGATAAATCTACTCAAGATTTTGCATTTAATTTTAAGTCGATTAATAGGAAACACTTACTTCATCTTAGAACAATTATATGAGTTACTCCTGATACTAATACAGATATAATTATTTAATATATTATTTCTCAAATTTAATTGCTCAAATTGCCGGCGGCACTTTTCAAACCGCAGATCCCTTGCAACGAGTTCTTGCCCAACAACTTGGTTGCCTGCAATTACATTGAACTGCAATTTAAAATCTTTTAATTTCATTAATATTGCCCAAACTTTGCCATTCCGAGTCTCCCCGCCCCTTAAGTGGCCATCTGTTTACAAATTAAATTTATTTGCTTTTGCGGCCCCCTCGAGAGGCGAGCGGGAATGAGAAAAATTAAAAATTTCATACATCATCGCATTAAATTTGTGGGATAAGATAAAGACGTCAAATGTTTTTCCCTCTTTTTTTTCAACTTTTTGGTGCTGACTGTAAAGGCAATTTAAAAATATATTCGAATATATCCGCATAAATAAAAATATGCAATTGGCGCCTTAATTGAAATCGATGTGAAGCACAGATTTCGATGATCGCTGTCGGCTGGCGTTAGTGTTGTTGTTGTTGTTGTTGTGGTTGCTTTTGCATCTTTGGCTATTGAACTTTTCTGAAATAGGAATAACAAAAAATAAAATCGTATCTGAATAAATATTTAAGTGTATGTGGGGAAAAACCAAGCAACGCCACTTGAAAACATTTCCCTCATTTGGTGCAAAAATGTTGAATGAACAATGAAAATGTTTTGAGAAATAAAAAATGGTAAAGTAGAAATAAACGCAATTATAGGAAGGTTTATTATTAGTAATTTATTGTTTAGCTAATAAAGTTTAATACGAGTAATGCCAAAGATATTTTAACTAAAGAAATAGAATGATTAGAATACCTGCTTTACCCCTGTTTATCTCTATTTTATGAATTCATCTATACGCACTTCCCTAATTTATAATTTCAAACTGCGTACCGAGTGCCTGCAAATGACACTTTATGACCATACCATCTCCTCCTCCTCCTCTGTAAAGAAATCGAAGTGCCTACGCACCAGATAAGTGCTGCGAAGCGAAAGATACAGATGCACAAACTCACGGATGCCAAGATACACGAGCAGTGCGAGATGCAGAGAGCGCCATTAACTCGAGTTGGTAACCCGAAAGGGCGCAGTCTGGGAAAACAGGTTTTGATTCAGGAGGAGGGGATAATGCCACAGGGGAGGGTTGTATAGCAGTCAAAGGAGCTGCAGCAAGAATCGAATCCAAAATGGCTGACGGACAAGGGGAGTTGCCCAAATGCCAGAGCATCCAATGAGAGTTCTTGAATGAAAGAGATGGAAATGAGAGTATTGCAAAGGAACTTAAAGGGGAAGTCCTGCAATTATGTGTTTAATTTTATAATAATAATAATAATTAGAAATTTAGTTAATCATTTTTTCTTAACACCTTTTACATCTATTAATTATTATTGGTATTTTCTTCTTACAGTCCACATCGGATCAGTTGTCAGCACGTGACTATCCGCATTTCAGCGGCGACCTACAGAACGTTACCCTGCCGGTGGCCTCCACATCCGCTTCAGCCTCCCACGCCGCCGCCGTAAAGATGTACCACAGCAGCGCCGTTGCGGCATATACGGACCTTGCTGCCGCCGGGAGTGCAGCCAGTGCCGGAGTGGGAGTCGGAGTATCCGGCTATCACCAGCAGGCGGTAAATGCTCCAGTCTACGTGCCTTCAAACCGACAGTACAACCATGTGGCTGCCCATTTTGGAAGCGCTGCGGCACAGAATGCCTGGACCACCGAAAGCTTTGGATCGGCGCATGCGCAACTGCCGGCGCAGTTCTACTCTCCAAATGCCGCAGTGATGATGGGATCCTGGCGCAGTGCCTACGATCCGTCGGGCTTCCAGCGCTCCTCACCCTACGAGAGCGCCATGGACTTTCAGTTTGGAGAGGGACGCGAGTGCGTCAATTGTGGTGCCATTTCAACTCCTTTGTGGAGGCGTGATGGAACTGGTCACTATCTGTGCAACGCCTGCGGTCTCTACCACAAGATGAACGGAATGAACCGGCCGCTGATCAAACCCAGCAAGCGCCTGGTGAGTGCAGTGAGTAGTCCCCTCCAGCTCTGCTATAGATTAACTTACTAATCAGTGACTCCTCCTTTTAGACTGCCACCAGAAGAATGGGACTTTGCTGCACCAACTGCGGCACCCGGACCACAACACTGTGGAGGCGCAACAACGATGGCGAGCCCGTGTGCAATGCCTGCGGCTTGTACTACAAGTTGCACGGAGTCAACAGACCACTGGCCATGCGCAAGGACGGCATTCAGACAAGGAAACGAAAGCCCAAGAAAACTGGAAGTGGTTCAGCTAGCACTGGTTCTGGATCAGCTTTGGAGACCATCAAGGAGTGCAAGGAAGAGCACGGTAAGTTTTGTTTAGAATGTTTTTTATAATCCTAATAAGGAGCTCACCATTATAGTACCAATTTGGGAAAACGAGAATTATATTTTCAAAGACACTAACCAGATTTCTTTTCCTAACAGATCTCAAGCCCTCCCTTAGCTTGGAACGCCATAGTCTAGCCAAGCTGCACACGGATCTGAAGAGCAGCCCCAGCAGTGGCAGTACATTGATGGGACATCACAACACCCAGCAGCAGCAACAGCAACAGCAGCAACAACAGCAGCAGCAGCAACAGCAGTCGGCTCACCAGCAATGCTTTCCGCTTTACGGACAGGCGACGACGCAACAGCAGCACCAGCAACATGGTCACGGCATGACTCCAACCTCCGGTCAATCCCAATTGAGTGCCCGTCAACTTCATGGAGCGGCAGGATCGCAACTCTACACGCCCGGCAGTAGTACGGGCGGAGGCAGTGCGTCCGCCTACACCTCGCACAGTGCCGAGACGCCGACTCTGAGCAATGGAACTCCTTCGCCCCACTACCAGCACCACCATCATCTTGGCGGATCCCATGGACATCATGTAACGGCGGCTGCCCATCATCATTTGCATGCAGCCGCCGCAGCTGCCGCCTATGGAGTTAAGACGGAGGCGAGTGCCACCAACTATGACTATGTGAACAACTGCTATTTCGGAGGCACCTTCGGGGCACTGGGAGGTGCTGCATCAACGGCGGCCATGGCAGGCGGAGCGGCCAGTGAGTTGGCTGGCTATCATCACCAGCACAACGTCATCCAGGCGGCCAAGCTGATGGCCACGTCATAGAACGAAACCCTGGGCACTGGACAATGGACTTTGGCTCTGTGATGTGATCTCCCTCCTCCTCACCAACTGCACCCCAACTTGAAGCCTTCGTTGAAATCATTGGCATTGAAAAGACTTTAGATATTAGACCTATTCGTCCTGATTTGTAATGGAGTTTTAATCAGGATTAACTAATTTTGATGGCTTAAACACTTTTTCTAAAACGTATGTTTCAGGAAATAGCAATAATTTAAGCTATTATAAATTAGCTAAATTTGATTAAAATTCTAAAAGCAAAGTGGGTGTTTCTAGCTTAAGATATGCCTGAATGGCACTTAGTTTTTATATCTTGTAAATAACTACTAGCAATTCTTGTTGTACAAATCTACGTCTATATGTATGTGCTTATCTATGGAGTTTTTTATGAGTGTACAGATATTGTTTATCGCTTCGTTTATAATGTAGTTCCATTTAGGTCCTTATCATAACTCTTGTTCAACTAGCTTAAATATTTTTATGTGTATTCCGCACTTCCCCACCAACCCACTGCATAGAACATTTAGTTTTACGAGTATTTAGTGGTATAGTATTATTGTAACTCTGCTCTTTTGAATATCAAAGCTGAATAAAGATTGTATCAAAATAAAATTTACTCTTTTGTGGGTTTTGGGGGCTGTAACATCTTCACTATAAATTGTTTTTACGTAAATATGTATATTCAATACGTTCAAACTTTTGGCCTTTCACAAGCTAAATACAGTGTTGCCTACTTTTAAGCTGCTCCGACTTCGATCATGTATAATCTCTTATATTACTTGACATCGACATCTACATTATTTTACCCTCAACTACATCAAAGCAATCATACTGTTATATTTAAATTACCTTCATAAAATTTTTGTTTCCACCATAATTTTATAATTTGTATGCCAAATAATACAAATATTTATTTTGGCAAAGGTTGTGCCAAACTGTTAGCCCTTTTCACAACACTTGCTGACAGGTTAATCGGTCAATGCCAAATGCAACCAAATACACGCTAAAAACAAGTAAAAAACGATCAAATTAAGAGCGTGATCTGCCTACCAAGGTACCAATTTAAAAAGCCCAATCGAAGCTATTGAACTCTTGGACGCCAATTGCACGTGATCAGGAACGGATTGCGGTTGGGCCTAAATTGGCTGAGAGTTTTGTGGAAAGCCCCTGCAATTACTCGTTTTCTTTACACTTTTATGACATTGCAAAAAAAAAGGGTAGCAAAAAGAGCTGCATACTGGTGATTGCATCACTTTGGGGCTGGCATGGACATCCGACAACCTGACAGTATTAAACATAAAGAAAACAGGCACCGAGGAATGCAACAGCAAGTGTGAAAATAAACGCCAATAAAACATGAAACTCAACGTAAACAAAACAAATCAATACCGAACATTAAACTCGTTTGTTTGGCGTTTAAAGAAAATAAAATGCTTGTTAATATTTCAAGCCGAAAGTTGCGCAATTCCAGGCTTTACGAGTGGGACAACTTTTGCCAGTTCGACAGCTGGTCAATATCTGTTGAATATTTTTTTATTTTTTTTTGTAATTTTTGTTGATGAGCCAGTCGGCGAGGAAGCAGCCACAATTAAAGATATCGCAATCTCAAACTGCTAGCCAACTATTGCAAAGCCCCTCATTTTCTGTAATTTCCGCACGCATCTTTTTTGCCCAAAAAAGATATGAGATAAAGATAGATGGCATTTGGAATAATCAACTATTGTCACATAATGCAACATTGAAATGAGCCGACCCCTGGGGGAGTCAATTTATTAGTCACATAACCGTTGATTTAGCATATTCAAGTTTTTGTAAACTGCGGTAATTAAATGGCTATCAAATGACAAATGGGTATTGGAGATGAAAGCGTGAGGAAAGCTGGGGGAAATAACATCTCCTTTCATTTTATGGAGACCTCTAAGTAAAAAGCTTGATAGATTCTAACAAATTATTAACAAATAACAAATAAAAACTGTATTTAAAGGTTCTTCAGTATAACTTTTAAAGTTAAAAAAAAATCTATAAATATACAAAAATATATATATATAATATTCTACCTACTCCACTCACGATCCACTCACTGGACCACCTCTAAGCCAAATGCTAATTGAGGAGACTGCGTAACAGAGACTTGCAACGCAGAGTGCACGCGACAACCGCCAAATTGGGGAATCATAGGGGCATGGGAAGCCTCTCTTTGTGGCCCGAGGCATTGGAGCACGAACACAGACAGCAAAACCGGACAACACCCGTGACAATGAAGGGGCAAGGCAGCGCCGACAATCCCAGACAACTCCAACTCCAAAACCGTTCGAGGCATGTCTGCGTAATACCAGAAGTAGTCAACAGGTGAACAACTTCGGGAGGGAATTTCGGTGGAACTGGAAGCAGGCCAGGGGGACGAGTCAGGTTAACGTGTGTGTGTGGCGCAACATTCATAAACATAAACAACCTGGGAATCGGTGGCGTTTACGCGCCAAACGAAAGTAAAATTAAAAGCAACATAAAAGTCCAAATATCAATACAACAAATAAAACATTACAAATATTCGGTCAAGTGGTGTAGCTTCATGCACTACAGTTGGGAAAGTTGGTATAGTACTAGTTGTAATTAAAAACGATAGAGCTAAACGAGTTTGATGACTTATATAAATTAAATTATTCACATTTTTGCCATTAACTATCATAAAATACCTTTCTTTTCATTAGACTTTTCACTTTGTTTTTATGGTTTTAATAATTAGGTTTATTACTTGAAAGTAAATCTTTTTCTTATATTACTTTATTATTAATGGCTATATCTTTTTTCTGTATTATAAATATAATTTTTTAGATATTATATAAAATATCTCATTTCCATTAAATCAATTTTCAAAAGACAACAGAGAGTGCATAGCATTTTAGACTAATTTCTTCTATATTTTTCTTGTGGTCAATTGGCAAGCGGGAATTGCGGAATTCGAATCGCCAGTGCGGGCAAAAAGAGTATGTAAAACTGGCCGCAAAAGCAGCGCACGAAAAAGCCAACTATTGTCATGGCCTTCGATGGTTTCGTCCGACTTTTCTCTTGGCTATCCCGGCACTTGGTTTTCAGCCATCGTCGGTAACGGTCGCGCGCAACGGATAACAGACTTAAAGCCACGAAATTAAGTGCCAGTCCAAGGATATCCGTCGCTTCGGTTTCGTTTCATCTTTTAAGCATGTTTAACACAACATCCTGGAAGTCGATAGTTAGTTTCGGCGTTATCCTTACAGTCTGCGTGACCCAGGGCAACGGGGCGTATACTCGTGAAATTGTGAACGACAAACTGCCGTTGCAGGAGAGACGTAAGTATTGCTAGCTAACCGTAACTAAAAATTGTTCGTGCTTAAAAAGGAATTAACAAATAAAATTTACAATAAAAAAAATAAATCCAAATCTCGATTTGCAGCTCCATGGCTGCAGACATGCAAACGATCTAATCCCAATGAGGACAAGTGCTTTCGGCAGCTCTTTGAGGGATGCTTTCCGGCACTGGCCGCAGGAATTCCCGAGATCGGTGTGAAGAGCTTTGAACCCCTGAACATTGACCAGGTTTCGGTGTCCAAAGGCAGTGGCAACCTGGTGCTGTCCGGCGGATTTCAAGATCTAGTAATCCGTGGACCATCAAACGCGACTGTGCGCCGTGCCAGGTAGGAAATCTATTTTTTCTAGTAAAGAAATGTTTTCATTTAATTTTAATTTTTCAGCTTGGATCTGGAGCGGCGTCTGCTAAACTTCGAGCTGGAACTTCCAAGGCTAAGAATCCGGGCCAAATACAACCTAAAGGGAAATATTCTGCTTCTCCCACTCATCGGCAATGGAGATGTGGCCATGGCGCTGAAGAATGTTCACACGACGGTATACACAAGGATCTCCCTGAGGAATGAAACCCGCACCGGTGACGAGATAATCCACATCGATGAAATGAAAGTGGGCTTTGATGTGGGCGCTATGCGCATCCATCTTAAGAATCTTTTCAATGGGAATGACATCCTGGCGGCCTCTATCAATTCGTTTCTAAACCAGAATGGCAAAGAAGTTATAGCAGAACTGCGTCCAGATTTGGAACTGGGATTGGCTGACATTTTCCACGGCCTGTGGAACAACGTCTTTTCCAAAATGCCTACCAAACTTTGGTTGGTTTAGTGATCCCATGGACCTAATCCTCCGTTTATGTATTATATTCATAATTTATTTCGCTTTTAATTGTGTGCTTATTTGTAGGCTAATATTTGTACTACGATTAAATCAATAAGATGAAAAATAATCCACTTAATTCTTGCCCTTGGGTAGCAGATCATCGTAGCTAAAGGACGCAAATAGCTTATCCACGGAGGCTCTCAAAATATCCACCAGGGCCGTGCTCATCAAGGGACGCACTTCCTCGGCCAGAGCCTTCCAGTTCTCATTAAGGAACTCGTTCATCCGATCGCCCAAAGCTTTGTCTCCGTTGAACAGGTTGTCCAGATGGATGTGCACGTCAGAGAGGTCGTACTTTACATTTACGTTGTTGATCTTCAAATAGTTAGCTCCATTCTTTTTGTACTCCTGTCCAATAAGTTCCGTGCGCATGGTGATGTTTACTGTAAGATGGACACAATATGGATGGAAACATAATTATATAGAACGATCAAGTAGCTATCTAACTTACTCAGATCCACCTTGCAGTGTCCATCGCCCAAGAGCGGCATCATCATAATTTTTCCCTGAAAGAACAACAAAGAGAAATTATAGTTAAGTAAGTTTGAATAGGGTTTTCGAAACGACTCAATACTTCTCTACTGACCTTGATGCTGTAATCCGATTCCATGTGTAGCTTTGGGAAGGTCAGCGACACAATGAATTTCAGCTTTGAGGGTTCCAAACGCAGATCGTTCACCGTGTGCTTTGAAATGCCCGTGACTTTAACGTTCTTGTACACGGAGTGAAGATAAATTGCGCCAGAGTCCTGGTCCATCTTGACCTGAGGAATTACTAGTGGCTCCATAGCTGGGATATACAACTCGGGAATGCCCTGCATCAGCCGTGGTCGTAGAGCCTCATAGGATTCCCGGGCGCAGGTGTTCAAATCTGGAGAATCTCGATGGCAAACCTTCAGGAAAGTTGCTGAAAAGAACAGAAGCAATATATGTTTGAAAAACTATAGTTTTAAAAACTGATTTCTGACGGTCAATTCATTTTCCTTTTAATTCATTTTTAGAATGTCGTCTCTACTCACGTAGCTGGTCAGGCTTCGCCGAAGGCTTCGCTCCTATCTGAAGCACTACTCCTAGAAGCACAAGCAATCCCGTCAACCAGTTGCAATTCATCCTGTGTTTGTTTAGCGATCCTCCTGAAGCTCTGATTATGGTCACCGGCTTTCCGCTTGTGGTGGCTGCCAAGCTGCTCGAATTGCTTTTATAGTCACGTCTGGCATGGCCAGAAGCCGACTAATTCTCTGTTCTGCCGCATGTGCAATTTCCCGTGACATTGCAATCCTCAGCAAGTTTCATTTCAATTGACCAAGCCGTGCTATATACAGCTGTTTTATACGTAAATCAAGCCGACCGTTATATATATATACCACACCTTGAAGTTTTGGTTCTGTCTGGCAAGTCTTTTAACCAATTGAACAATATTCGCTATGTAAGAAAGTTATATACACTCTCACTTGTTAGAACTATGTGTTGGCTTGCAAACATTATAATGTCTACAAAGTAACTAAAAATCTAATCTAAACCTTGATCTTCGCCTTCACCGTACAAAAAAATTAGAGTATACGTATGTACTCGTATAATTATTTAAATATATTCGACGGATTTATATTTGTTTATAGTGTTTATAAAGCCATCTGGAAAGCAGGAAACTAAAAAAATTAAGACCATGTTCCCCATTTCACGCTAAACATGAATATTTATTTAATATCAAAGAGAAAGGTAACAAAAGCATTCTAGCTGAACTAAATAAAAAATGAGATTAGCAACATGCATTAGTTTCTGCGAAACTATTAAAGCTATTTAAATTACCAATTGGGTATGCACTAACAAATTAAAATCGAATTGATATCGTGATCCGAATATAACTGAAGTCATGTTTCTGGACGAACAGGAGGCATTAGTAGTGATCGATTTCCATTTCACGGACAAGGCTGATAAAAACCAAAAAATTCGTTATAATAAGTTACAAAAATGTAAGTCATACACACTTACATGCTATTCATTCTTTCTGCCTCGTCGATCACACTGTTTGTGCCCAGAGAGTCAAATGGATCTGAGCCGGGATAATCAGTGCTCATTGTCAAAATGCTCATCGCTTCACTCAAGTGATGCATCGGAGGTGGGGCGACAGGAATTGGAGTCAGCATCTTCAAATGGAGCCCAAATATAGCGTTCTTAATGTCTTTAAATTTAGTCAGGAGGACCGGAATGGTATCCCTGCTTCTAACATAATAAAAGTGCAATTCATCAATAGCTTTGGATAATTTGGCCTCTCCCTTATTATATAAAAGAGATCGAGTTTCTGCAACCTTAACGCCGGTTTTATTCAACTCTGCAGGTAAAATAACCGCTCCGTTGCAGAGGTAATTCTGGTAGAATCGTGATCTACAGAAGAAAAACAATTTAATAACAAAATGCGTAGATAAATTGCTATCATAACTGTCTTACGCATTGAATATGTCTTTCTCCTCAAAATCCTTTACAAGTTGATTTGTTCTCTTCACCATGTCCTTGGCGCTGCGCAAGCCAGAGCTAATGTGACACATAATCGAGTTCGCGTGCTTTACTATGGCTTCGTAATTTTGTGATAACTCCTCCCACTCGTGACTGTCGTTGAGCTAGAAAGAAATCAGATTTCTAGAAGCTTAAATAGAAAAATAGTGATCAGAATTACCTGAAAGGTCGGACTCTTCGCTTGGGCTTCTGTGCGCAGCCTCTTTAGCTGATCATAAGCAAAGGAGGTTGTGAGAAGCTCCTTATTAATGGTATCTGAACAAGGAATGTCGATCATTTCGTCCTCCAACGACAGGGCATGCTCGTTAACACCAGCCAGGAACATCTCATGGGTCGCCTGCTCCTTGGTGAGCATATAAAGCATATCTAGAGCTACACGTTTGATCAGCCACTTTTCTCGCGACTTGATCCGGTTCCCTAAAAACTTTCGAGCCAGAACCGACAGATTTAGCTCCGGCACATTATAATCACATTCTTTTCTAGCCTGCAAGATATACAACATCACGGGCGGATTCTTGCATTTAGTCCGCTTGCGGGCCTCTCTACTGGTGTCGCTCCACTCCTCCACATACAAATCCAAAGGCTTAGTGGCAGCCGTGATCTTCTTGTGGGGATGGGATGTAGGTAGCACATATAACAATTCATTTTTGTCTATCCCAGTGTCCCGTACAATCAAGTCATTTAAATCTCCCCGAGTCATCTCAGAGGAAACCTCATACTCAAGTCGCTTGCAGCAGTTTATAACAAATATTGTTAGCACCTTCATTTGTAGTAGCTTGTCAAGCTCAGCGAAAACTACTGGAACTGATTGTACTTCATCAGTTGCTAGTTGCCCGCGTTCCTTGTAGTTTGTGTTCAGAGGAGTCCGCAGCCATTTGGTAAAAGCCTCGGCCCAGGGCCGCGACAGATGGTGCTCCTGTGGCAGTTGGAACTGATTCACGAAACGACTATTGTTTTCTGGATCCTCCGTAATGGCAATACATTCTTTGGGCTTATTAATCAGATTAATTAATATGTTTTTAGGAGTTTGATGGGGTATGAATGGCAGCTCGCCAGTTACTAGCTCATAGGCAATAATCCCCAGTGACCAGTAGTCCACGGCCGAGTTGTAACGGCCCGACTCTACTACTTCCGGGGCGAAGTAGTGCCGGGTGCCAACCACGCTCTGCACCATTGTCTTTTCCGGAGCTATTCGCGCCAGTCCAAAATCGGTGAGCTTATAAACCTTCTTACCATCATCTCCTCGTTTGATAACTATATTATCTGGCTTTAAATCACGGTGACATATCCCACACTTGGAGTGCAAAAAGTAAAGGGCATGGCGTAGAGCTCCCAGAATTTGACGCACCTCGAACTCAACCAGTCCATTTGCGTTCTCTGGACTGCGCAATCGCTTTCTTACATCACCGCCGTTGCAGTATTCGAGAACAATCACAGGAAGTTTGACAATGTGTCCTTCATTTAGGTAATTCATGAATGTAGGGTCTTCCTTGTCTAGATTCACACCAGCCACAATGTAAGGGAAATCCTGAAACTGTAGAGCCCAATCATATTCCTTGTTCCAGCGTTCGCTGAGCTTAATCTGCTGATCAGCACTAAGGGAATTCAAATCCTTTATGTGCTTGGTTGCTGAATGGAAGATACATAAACAAATAAAATCTGTATTTATACATATCTGCGACACAGGAACTGGCTTTCGGCTGACTCAGCCAAAGGGCTATATGCTATCTCATTTGACGACCACACGCATTAAAATTCGCGCGGGTGGCCCTGCTATCAGTGCAGCACCGGGAAACGCTTGCATCAGGCCGAGTTCTCGGAACCGCACACAAACACCCAAACGTAGAGAAAAGCATTTCCATATATGTACGTTAATGTGGAGTCAAACAATTGTTTATAGCTCACCGATTTCACGGCCCGTTGTCAGGTTTCGCCAGTGAAGCACCTCGCCAAATCCGCCCTGGCCCAATTCGCCACACATCTGCCAATTTCCCTTGGATTTCATCATTTTGCTACTTTAGTGTCTTTAATTTACGCAGCACTTTGTTGAGACAATCTGTATCCCTCCATTGCACAGGGAAAATCAAAACTTAAAAACGATCGTTAGGGATGGGAGATAGTTTGAAAGCACTTGCGTTCACTAGCACCTGCCAGTTAAAAATATTTTATATCACAGTTTGCTCACAAAGGACCACGTGAAAATTAAAACATAATTGGATTTAACTGAATTTATATTTACAACCAGACAAATTTCAAATCACGTTCAATATTATTTCAAACTTTAACCATAAAACCGATATTCAATCATTGATTGCCTCTCTCACCTCTATCAACATCGATGTTTAAATCGATTTGGGGTTGATATCGATAACCAAACAGGTTGTAAACAAAACTCTGAGAAATAGCAACAGTTTAATAAAAAAAAGTACTTTCCTGCATGCTCGAGATAAAATGCGTTTCCACATGAAGAGCGGCAGCGAGGACAACGATATTGTGGCAGCCACAGCCACTGCTGAGCACATCCGCAAGTTTGTCTTCAGCGGATCACCGGCGGAGCGTCTCGAGATCAAGATACCCGAGGTAAGCAAAGAAGGCAGGTGTTCCCGCAGCCACTAATTTTGAGAAAATCCACCGTCCATCAGCTGCTCCAGGGAGCGTACTCCTTTTACACGTGGCCCTGCGCACCAATCCTAGCCCACTTTCTATGGGAGCGACGACAGACATTGGCCGGCAAGCGCATCCTGGAGTTAGGAAGCGGCACCGCTCTACCTGGCATCCTCGCTGCTAAATGCCGAGCCCAGGTGGTCCTTACCGACAACTGTATCCTGCCTAAGTCTCTCGCCCACATCCGCAAGTCCTGTTTGGCCAATCAACTGCAGCCTGGCGTAGATATTGATGTGGTGGGCCTGAGTTGGGGCCTGCTGCTGAACAGTGTGTTCAGACTCCCACCGCTGGACCTTATCATTGCCGCCGACTGCTTTTACGATCCCAGCGTGTTTGAGGACATCGTAGTTACAGTGGCTTTTCTGCTAGAAAGGAATGCCGGTGCTAAGTTTATATTCACGTACCAAGAACGAAGTGCTGACTGGTCTATCGAGGCGCTGCTCAAGAAGTGGAAGTTGCAGGCGCTGCCTATTAGCATGGACGAGATTGGCAAGGAGTCGGGCGTGGATTTGTTAGAGTTCATGGGCGGACACACCATTCACCTGCTGGAAATCACACGCGTCGACAACGGTGGCACAATAAATACTATATAACAATTATACAAGTCTTATTTTTGTACTTTTGAGGATTTCATTAGATGTTTGGTGATTCATTTAATTTGCGAGAAATGTACTAATTAGTTTTATATAAGAAATGAATTCAATACTAGAATTGAATGTGCTTGTTAAAAACAGTTTAACGATAAAAGAAAAAGATTTTAAAATTTCAAATTCAAATCTTTATCAAAGTTTTCAACCCAAAATTAATACCTGGAATTCAATGTACTATTTTAAGTATTCAAAGCGGTCACACTGGCTCGCAACGACGCTGCTGAAGAACTGCAAAAATTATTATTTATTTACTTCGCGCGAAACAACGTAAATTCCGCTGCATAGAAGAGCCCTAAAGTGATTGAAAAGTTATAAAGTTATTGTTCATTGTGCTGCACGACTTAGCAGCAGCAAAAAGAGCTCATCGGTGTTTCTTTGTCGAATTAGTGTGCGTGCCTTAGTGTTGTACCGTGTGCTAGTGTTGGTGTGTCGCCTGCGAAAAATCGAAGTTATTGCATTGCGCAGCCCTTAAAAACCGCTGCCACTGGCCAGCTGTCCGCCCACACAGTACCGCGCCACTCCCCCCGCTGCATAGCGGTACTAAGATCCCCATTCTGATGGTAAGTGCATGTGTGTGCCGGAATGCACTTGAGTGCATAGGGATTTTGTTCCAGGGCGTCGCTTTTTGTTTGTCGCTAAAATGGTCGAAATCTGGTGCATCTGCGACATTCAAGTTGCAGCCACTGGAAATTAATAGCATTAGCAACAACTAGATGTTGTGTGCAACGGTAAACGACGGCATTTTCCAGACGCACAGCCCGCAGGAGAAACATTTGTTGTTGCCTGCGATCCGTTAATTCGAACGAGAGAGCGTCGGTGTGCGTGAGAGCTTAGAAGAGCGCTTAAGAATGGGAGAGTACGATAGAGAGGGAGTCAAAGCGGGGATATATCCGACTTATGGAATGCTCTACTATAACTCAAGCACTAATGCCTGTTCTCAGGGTCGGTTACTAAGATACAAGTTCAAGGGAGAACTGGATGAATAATTAAATTAATTTGATATTGCGTTCCATGATAATCCGCTCCTGAATCATTTACGGTATGGCGTGTGCGTGTGTGTCACCATTTTGTTGGTCAGGGGGAGGGACTGCCCTGCCCCTGATTTATTGTCTGAATAAAGCGCGCTATTCCACGACATGATATCACCATCTCCCATCCTGGGTGATGAGCCCACCAACCTTTTCCGAATAGCCACATTCGCACGCTCCTATTTCTATTTCTATTTGCCAAATAACTGCACTTAGACGACGACAATCTAAATATGGCCGACCTATTTACTTTTTGCCGCCTCTCGAGCGGAACGGATAGATGATTTTGATTCCTTGGCCTACGGCATTTCATCGACGATTAAGCTCAAATTTGAAACATTAGCTTGATGACTCCTGACAACCAGAATAGTTCTGCTTCATTGGGGTTTTATATATTTTTTTTCCATTTTTTTTTTTAGAGAAATTCCACTGAATTACTTTTAAAAATTTTTTTTGTTCAATAGAATGTTAGTTGAGACATCTGCTTGCGATTGTGACCACTGAGACGTTTTTGCTGCTCAGACCAATACGAGTAGCACTCGGAGTACCACACCATGGCCGAAGATACCGAGTACAAGAAGCTGCCGGTGGAGGAACGGTGTGTCCATAAACTATGGAAGGCCCGCGTTGATGGCTACGAGGAGGCAGCCAAGCTTTTTCGCGAATTGGACGACGAGAAGTCGCCAGAATGGTCGAAGTTCGCTAGCCTCATCAAGAAAATGGTGGTAGACTCAAATGCCCTAGCCCAAGAGAAGGGTCTGGAGGCGGCCCTAATTTTTGTGGAGAACAGCGGGCTAGCCGGACGAACAGTGGGTGATGTGATGACTGGCATCGTCCAGAAGTGCATAGCGGCGCCAAAGACAAAGACCAAGGAGCTCTCCGTCCAGGTGGCTCTAATGTATGTAGAGATAGAGAAGCAAGACTCCGTGGTCGAGGAGCTCGTTAAGGGCATGGAAGCCAAGAATCCCAAAATTGTGTCCGCTTGTGTGGCAGCCACCACACTGGCTCTTCGCGAATTTGGACATAAGGTGATCGGTGTCAAGCCGTTGATTAAGAAGTTGGCCCCGCTGATGTCAGATCGTGATAAGGCGGTCCGCGATGAAGGAAAGCAGCTGGCTATAGAGATCTACCGCTGGATCGGAGCCGCCATGAAGGCGCAGATCTCGACGTTGCCACAGGTAACGCTCAAGGAGCTAGAGGATGAGTTCGACAAGCTCAAAGGCGAACGTGTGGAACCCTCCAGGTGGGTTAAATCCTATCTCTAAATTAAATACTTTACTGAAAAACTTTTCTGTGTAGATATCTAAAGTCCCAGCAAGAAAAGCAAGCCAAGATTGCGGATGCAGCAGCTACCGAGGATGCCTATAATGGTAGGAACTAAACACTATTACAAAACTAATACCGATTAAATTTGTTCTTTTTTCTCATGCAGAAGAGGATGGCGAGGCTGGCGTAGAGGAAATCGATCCCATGGATCTCCTCGATCCAGTTGACATACTTTCCAAAATGCCTAAGGATTTTTACGACAAGCTGGAGGAAAAAAAATGGACTTTGCGTAAGGAATCGCTAGAGGTCTTGGAAAAGCTGCTCACCGATCACCCGAAGTTGGAGAATGGCGAATACGGAGCACTAGTAAGCGCTCTTAAAAAGGTTATTACCAAGGACTCTAACGTCGTACTCGTAGCCATGGCCGGAAAATGTCTGGCCTTATTGGCCAAAGGTTTGGCCAAGCGTTTCTCCAACTACGCCTCGGTAAGTAATTTCAAAATATCTTGCTTTCCTCTAAGTCTTATCACTTTCTAAAACTCCAGGCTTGTGTCCCATCCCTGTTGGAGAAATTCAAAGAAAAGAAACCTAATGTGGTGACAGCATTGCGCGAGGCCATCGATGCCATCTATGGTTCCACTTCCCTGGAGGCCCAACAAGAGTCCATTGTGGAGTCCCTTGCCAACAAGAATCCAAGTGTTAAGTCCGAAACGGCGTTGTTTCTGGCACGTGCTCTGACTCGCACCCAGCCAGCCGCGCTAAACAAGAAGCTGCTCAAGTTAATGACCACCAGTCTAGTAAAGACTCTGAATGAACCAGATCCCACTGTTCGCGACAGCAGCGCTGAAGCTCTGGGTACTTTAATGAAACTAATGGGCGAGAAAGCTGTTACTCCACTGCTAGCTGATGTCGACCCACTCAAGATGGCTAAGATCAAAGAGTGCCATGACAAGGCGGAGATTAAAATAAAAGTAGCAGGTCCAAAGAAGGAGGCCAGACCTGCATCAGCACCGGCTTCGAAAGCAGCTGCTCCTGCCAAGCCCACTGGGGGAAGTGTAGATCCCAAACCCGTGACCCGGCCCGCGACCACAGGAGCTCGCAAAGTGCTGAAAAAACCCGCAGCTGGTTCTAGTGCAGGTGCTGCGTCTGCACCAGCTGCAACATCTAAAGCGGCAGGAAAAGCCCTTGCAACGGAACGCGAATTGACGCCCGAGGACTTGCAGGAAAAGTCCGAGGAAATTCTTCCTGCCGACATACTTAACGGGTTGGTGGATTCCAACTGGAAGAACCGCCTTGCTGCTGTGGAGCAGCTTCTCGGCGAAATCACTGGCTTTGATTCAAAACAGGCGGGCATATCACAGATTCTGATCCGAACGATTAGCGGTCGTAAACCCGGCCTTAAAGAAATGAATTTTCAGGTACTTAAATTTAAGCTGGACATAATCCGCAGTGTGGCCGAGAACTATCCGCTGACTACGACAACCGTAGACCTCGTGATTAACGAAATAACCGAGAAGCTGGCTGATGCCAAAAATGGATCAGCAGCTGCCGATGTCCTGTCCGCCTTTGCGGAAGCTACTAAACTAGAGTATATAGTTGGAAAAGTGCTAAGCTTTGCCTTCGAGCAGAAGTCGCCTAAAGTGCAATCTGAGGCATTTAACTGGGTGGCAAAATCCATCACAGAGTTTGGTTTCCAACTCCAGCCCAAAACACTTATTGAGGATGTGCGAAAGGGCGTTCAGAGCACTAATCCAACAGTTCGTTCTGCAGCCATTCAACTCGTGGGCACCATGTCTATGTATATGGGCAATGCCCTTATGATGTTCTTTGACAGTGAGAAGCCTGCCCTAAAGTCCCAGATTCAAGTGGAGTTCGATAAAAATGTGGGCGAAAAACCGCCCAAGCCAGTCAGGGGAGTTCAGCGCAGCACCGGTGGAGCCAGTAATTCCCCGGATAATGAGGACGACGATGGAGGTGCAGGCGGAGAAGAGGAGCCCATTAACATGGCGGATCTTCTGCCTCGCGTTGACATTGCCCCACAGATTACGGAGGCACTGCTGAAGGAGATGTCCGATAAGGACTGGAAGACCCGCAATGAGGGACTGACTAAGCTGCAGGCTATCATTTCGGAGGCTAGGCTAATCAAACCCAGCATCGGGGACCTAGCCCCTGCTCTGGCGCATCGCCTAGTAGATTCCAATGCAAAGATTGCGCAGACGACACTTGCCATATGCGAACAGCTTGCTACGGCCATGGGCGCTGGTTGCCGCAACTATGTGCGTACACTGTTCCCTGGGTTTTTACACGCCTTAGGAGATAATAAGAGTTTCGTGAGGGCCGCGGCCCTTAACTGCATCAACAGTTTTGGCGAGAAAGGTGGCTACAAGGAGTTTTTTGAGAACGAAATGATAGCAGATGCTCTTAAGGGAGGATCACCCGCTTTGAAGACCGAGCTGTGGGCTTGGCTGGCGGACAAATTGCCAGGCCTTCCCCCCAAGTCGGTGTCGAAGGAGGACCTCCATTCAATGGTGCCGCACTTATACGCTCACATTTGTGATCGTAATGCCGATGTGCGAAAGAACGCCAATGAAGCGGTGCTCGGCATTATGATCCATCTCGGATTTGACGCTTTGAATCGAGCTTTGGACAAGCAGAAGCCTGCCTCCAAGAAGGACATATATGCCGCACTGGAGAAGGCACGTCCTAATCTCCCAGTGAAACCGTTGCCCAAGGGCAAACAGCAGGCCCCAATACCCGAGGAGTCGAAGGCAAAGACAGTACGCGGTGGCGGGGCCGGCGGAGCGACTGGAATCCAGAAGAGTGCCTCTTCTAGAGCCGCCGGGGGGCAAGACAAACTTCCGGCACCTACGCGTAAGAAGGATGAGGATATCGACACATCGCCACTTCTGACCGCCAACAACTCTAAGAACCAGAGACTGCTGGACGAGCAAAAAATGAAAGTACTCAAGTGGACATTCGTGACGCCGAGAGAGGAATTTACCGAGCTTTTACGCGACCAGATGATCACGGCCAATGTAAATAAAGCGCTGATAGCCAACATGTTCCACGACGATTTTCGGTGAGTCCTACTATTTATGTTGTGAACCGGAGGTAACCTCTTGATATTCTCCTTTAGCTATCACTTGAAAGTCATTGAGCAGTTGAGCGAAGATCTGGCTGGCAACAGCAAGGCGCTAGTGTGCAATCTGGACCTAATACTTAAGTGGCTTACTTTGCGCTTCTACGATACGAACCCTTCTGTTTTGATTAAGGGTCTCGAATATCTTGTGCAGGTTTTCCAGATGCTCATTGACCAGGAATACATTTTGGCTGAGAATGAAGGCAGCTGCTTCGTGCCACATCTGCTCTTGAAGGTTAGTCTCACCAGGTAAAAGTATTTAACATTACTCAAAAAATTTGTTTGCTTGTTTGCAGATCGGAGATCCAAAGGATGCTGTCCGGAATGGAGTACGCCGCGTGTTGCGGCAAGTTATATTGGTCTTCCCCTTTGTTAAGGTGTTTGCCTATGTGATGGAAGGTTTGAAATCGAAGAATGCCCGCCAGCGTACCGAGTGCCTGGACGAGTTATCCTTCTTAATCGAGACCTACGGCATGAACATTTGTCCCCAGGCATCGGTACGGGAGATTGCTCGCCAAATCTCCGACCGCGATAATTCCGTGCGCAACGCAGCACTGAACTGCATCGTCCAGGTGTTCTTCTTGTCTGGTGAAAAGACCTACAAGATGATTGGCCATCTTAACGAGAAGGATCTCTCAATGCTGGACGAGCGCATCAAGCGGGCAAAGAAGACAAAGAGGCCAACGCCTCCGGCATCTGTCGATATGCCTGCCAGCGGCAGGCCAGCAGCAGTTCAGCGACACGACAGCATCGAGATCGAAGATGCAGAGGTGGGCAATGGCTGCGATGAACTGCCGCCACCGGATGAAGAGGGGTATGTGTTTGGTGGGTGTCCTGTAGAGCCGAGGGTTGGAAACTGCTGTTGTTATTATGAGCAATGCTATAAGAAGTCTAGGTTCCAAAAGTCCAAATGATTTACAAAATACTGAAAGATATTAAAGATATGCATTTCATGTTTTCATTTTATTTACACATGTTTGTGTGAGTTCTGAAGTTTGTATATTTTTGGTTATATAATTTATTTTTAAACGAGATTAAAGATTGGAACAGATCCAAACATTTATCTTTAGCGGAAATACTCCTTTTGGATAGAATCTTTTTTCGTTTCCACCCTCGAATATCGAAGTAGATAAAACTTTATAATTTTGTTGAATTCGGTTGGTTTTTGTTGATTTTCGTTTATATTTTTATTTTATTAACTTAGTTCGCAGCGGGCGTTAAATGCACGTGGGCAGAACAACTTGACGGAGCGGAGTGCCACCAATGTGGCTGCCTACTTGAACTCCCTGACTCGACAGGCGTAATGTGGCTTTCTTTATACTTTGTGTTGTTTTGTTAATTTGTTTTTGTATTGCTTGTTGCCGTGATTGCTTGAAAAGTCGCCTTTGCCTCCCTGTTCTCATTGTTGTCATTGATCCACTTGTATTCATTCGGTTCTATTTCGATTTCAGAGATTTGCTAATTCTTTCTTTTTTTTCTGTCACTATAGTACTTTTGATCAGGCTCCTTCGTCACAGCTGCAACTTCTCCAGCAGCAACTGCAACAGCTCCAGCAGCAGGCCCAACAACAGAAGCCCAGCGGTCCATTTGGCTTGGACTCGCAGGTAATAAGCGAGATCGAAAAAGACTGGGTCCGCGTGGACCAAATGGAACAGAAACCGCTGCTGAACGTAAGCATCTCATCCCTGGACGAGCCCATTAAGGTGAGGCCCACTAGGGCCGGTATTCACTACCCGCAGGAGAAGTTCGATCGTCTGATTTCAAGGCAGCACTACATGCAGCAGACTCTGACCACTTCTCCGTCTTCAACCGGCGGAATAACCAGTGGAATCTCTCCCTATCGCAGCCCCATGCGGATGCAGCTACAGCAGCCGCCCCAGCAACTGGAGAACAATATTCCAAAGTACGTTATCTATTTATCTGCTCCTTAAAGCCGATGCTTATTTATTTATTTATTATTTTATTTTATTATTTATTTCCTCTACCAACAGCCTGGCTGATGTTCTGCCCAAACATGATCCACAGCTGGTCAAGGTGATTAAGGGTGTGAGTAGCACGGATACCTTGAAGGCACGCGCGGCTATAAACGAGTTAGCCGCCATCATTGAGGCACCGGAGAAGCAGGCAGTTCTGCGCGACTACGAGGAAATATTTATACAGAATGTGCTGGCGCAGTTTAAGGTATAGATAATTTTTATAAAATATATAATCTCATTTATTTACCTGTCGATTTTCCCCCGCAGAATCTCTCACAGATACCATCGGCTCAGTCTGTTGTTGTATATCAGCCTCTACTATCTATTCTGTATACATTTTTCCATGCCAACATTCTGGGCAAAACGCTAAGCGTGGCCTGCATCAAGAACCTCATGTCGGCACTGCTAAACCTGATGGCCGATCCCAAGTTGGCCGTAGGCGATGACAGTCAATATAACAAGGTTATAAATGGTATCTGCCTTAAAGTGTTAGACAAGGTTGATTTCACGAATTTAAATTGGTAAGATAATTTAATAATACTTTACAATCACATTATGTGTAATCGCCCTAAATATATCTTAGTGCTTTGATTCGTCTTTTGCGCGAGACTTGTCCGGAGGCCAAGCTTCCCAAGTTCACAGATCTGCTGATGAAGTGCATCTGGCGCAACGTAAAGATGTTGCCAGAGCGTAGCAACGAACTGAACTACGATGCCGTCATTCTGGAAGTACACGAGTTTATGCTCGCCCTGCCAAGCACCTGGTGGCAGAACCGACCGTCTGACACTCCAATGCGCACTATTAAGACTATTTTGCACAACATGGCAAAGGTAAAGGGAAATGCCATTCTCCAACACCTCAACCAGATACCCACACACTCGGAGTTACACACGTACTTGATACGCATCCTTAAGGTTGGTTCTTGAGAATAAAATAAAAATGATTTGATGTAAAATTAATAATGAGCGGTTTTGTAGAATTTCCAGAAGGATGGCTCTGCGGCCGGAATTGGTGCCTCCCCACAGAGAGCCAAAGAAATTGCCTCCAAGCGTATTTCGCACCAAACTCATGATACAGTATCACAGATCTTTAAGCTAATCTCAGATAGAGATACCAAACAGCAAGGACTCCAGAAACTTTACGACTTTAAGGTTTGTATTAAAGAACATTTTGATTGATTGTTTATCTGAGGCAAACGTGTTTAACATTGCAGCAACAAAATCCTGATATTGATCTAAGTACCTTCTTGCAAGGCTCTAGTGCCACTTTCCACAAGTACATCGAGGAGGGTCTGGCTGAGATCGAACGCAATCAGAATGCCGGCTCTACTCAGGCACCAGATAATCGTACTGGTAAGACAGAGCACGAAACGCTTAACAACCCAATTTCATTTACTAACCTCACGCACATGCATTTATATTTGTGTTTGAATCCGACGAACTGCAGCAGCTACTCGTTCTTATCTCACAGATGTCAACTACCAGAACACCGGACACGATGCCGATTTCTGGATGGACCGCTTGCAGTATCATCTTTCCGGAGGTGGCGTGGCCGGTAAGCTAGCTTCCGCCCGTTCAGCAGACGAAGGTTCAAATATGCTGGACAATAAGGTGGCTGACGAGAATCTCTGCTTGAACGGAATGAACGCACAGAAGGCGTCGCTCATTAAACGGGATGTAAGTTAAGCAAGTTATATAAAATAAACAGCAATTGAAAAATAAATTTGTTTCAGAAGCGGGATATGTCACCCAATCGGTTGCAACATCTCCAGGCAAAATTGGCCCAAATCAAGAAGGAAAATCATGCCCAATAAGCTGTGCGCTTCCTGTAGCTGGAAATCTTTAGCTATAAACAGCAGCAGCTATATATATAAATACAGCAAAAGAGAAGACACACTCAAAACACACTGAACGAGCCAGTCCTCGTAAACTACATGAATCATTTATTATTTAACATAGTTGTATGCTTACGAATCGGCACATATATATATTCACGATAATAATGTGTAGTAACAGGAGCAGCAGTGAGTGTCGGAAGAAGGTTAACAACAGTAACAATAATTAACAGTTCACACTATTACTATGTCTCCTCCAACTATGTATTGTACTTTGTCTAATAACAATTGATCGGTCTATGTATTAGCACTGAGTTGTGTTTCGTATGCGATTCAATTAGATTCGATTGGCTAAGTTGAGATTAAAGTGGCGACTGTGACTGAGACCAGGTTCCATTAGACAGCTTGTTAATTTATGCCTACGCTATTTTGTTTAAATTATCAGTGAAAGCAGTAGCATGTTAAAGGTTTGTGTACACTTCAAAGGTCATTGTTTCACATAACGCGCCCACTAGGATCGGTTCTTGTTATTATTATGTCTGGTTATGTTTTCAACACTCAACACGCCTCAAATTGTTTCAAGCCAAGCGTTGGGCTCAGTGCGCGCTAAAAACTCTAATTTATACTCGTATTAGCTAACAGTAGTTTTTACCAAATAGCAGTTACCCCTAACCATTGTTTAATTTAAGACCTACTCAGTTTTATCCGCACACACACACATACACATATTGATTTCGATGCCACAAGCACGCAGTACACGCAGGATAACACACACAGTAGACACGCAGCGTATTTTTGTAACATCCTCATGAACTATATGCGAAAATAAATGTTATATTTATAAATCAACTAACCGATCTAGTCGGCCACTGGCACCACAACGTCCTCTGTGATTTCTGTGAGCAGTTCTTCCTCGCCGTCCTCCCCGCCCTTACTGGTCTTTGCGTAACGCGACGAGATGGTGGCCACACGAATCGCAGCCTTGAAGCCAACCCGGGCCTTCATCTTGGCTAGCTTGGCCTTCCAATTTTCGTCGCGGGAGGGCAAGTCATTGAGATAATCGTTCATTTCCTCCTTCTTTGGATCAACTATGGCCAGCACAGACATACAACCGTCCACTGTTCCCAGTACGATAGCGCGTCCATCCTTGCTACTCTTAATCGCCGTAAGCTCCGCCTGCAGGCGGTAGTTGGCTATCATCTCGGTGTCCACTGTACGGAATACGCGTATGGTCTTCCGACCGCTGTGGTAGTAGGCCACGTACTCATCGTTTTCGGTGAAAATGCAGATCACTGAGAAGACGCCCTCGGCCACCTTGGGTATGAAGGTCTTAACCGTGGTGCCCTTTCGCAGTTCCAACATTTCCAGTCCTCCGCGGGTAGGGGCATATAACCCGCATTTACCATCCCGTGTGATACTGCCGCCCCACTTGGCGATGGAACGGACATGCTTCTTTGTCTTTATGTCCATGACGCTGCCCTTCTCACTACTTATCACAGCAACTTGGTTGGCCTTGTGCGGCATCGGCACCAGCGATATTACCTCTTTGATAGAGCAGCCCTTCAGCAGAATCTTCGAAACAAAAGCTCCATTGGTGGCGCTGTATACGCCCAGGCAATCTTTGTTGGACTTGTCCACCGTAACCACCACGATGTAGGCATTGTCAGCCGTTATAACAGATTGCCGGAAGGGCATACCTGTGATCATTCTTATGGGGAAGTCAAACCGGAACAGGATAGCACCCTCTGCAATACAGGAAAGTTTGTTTTATTATACATTTATTAGCAAAAAGGGAATCTCACCTGGTACTGAACGCATGGTCGTTATGGCCGTGAGCCGGTTGGCTTCATCCGACCCACCTGCAGCAGCTGCAAGAATGTCTCGCTGATTGATGTTCGGCACAGAGACGGTTAGAACTTTGTACCCGTAGTCCATGAGGGTAATCTGCTGGATGCCAGGTTGGTCATCCCTAAAAACAACCTGCTCAGACACTCGATTCCAAACTAAAAACTTTCCTGTCTCTGAGGATATAATGTAGCGACCATCCGGAGTGATCTCGGCATGTGTGACAATGGCGCCCAAAGGACTGTCGGCCAGCTTGGCAAGAAGGCGTCCGGAACGTGTCTCCCATACTCCAACACAGCTGCGGGTTACGGTTACTGCCATATCCACTTCGGAAAGACTGATATCGTCAATTTGCAATTCGTGACGGTCAATGACATGGACCTTCTCAAAGATGTTGTTAATGTTCCACACCTTTACAGAACGATCAATGGAGGAGGTGACCAGGTTATTCCAGTTGCCAATAGTCAGAGGTTCCAGCTGGATAATTCTGCCAAAGTGGGCGTCCAGCACCTTGGCAAGCTGGCCGGACTGAAGACACCACACGTACAGGTTCTTACGCACTCCGGCAACAGCGTAGTCTAGTTTTGAGCTAACCATGATCGAGTTTGACTGCATGATGCGAGTCGTAATGTTGCGTACCCCATGAGGCAGTGCCAGATAGAGCGCGCCCTCTCTTAAACGAGACTCCTCTGCTGCATCCTTCTCTTTGCTGCCAAAGTCCCAGATGACAAATCCCTTTCCTGCAGTTCCCAGGAGCATTCGATCATGTTGATCGAGGCGCAACTGAAGCAGCATCTCCTTGTCATCGTTCTCAAAGCGCGGCAGGCTCTTAACCAAGCTCCAGCAGATCTCACCGGTAGTCTCATCTTCGATAAAGTCAAACACTGAGACCTCGAAATTCTCCTCATTAGCACAACCATAAGCCCGGGTCCTTTCCTTGTTCATGACCATAGCGCTAAAAAGCCGCTGAGAATTGGAGTAGTGATCACCTCGACAGGAGTCCAGCCTCAGGCGCATGTCGTTAATGGATCCTGACCAGAAAACCACATTGTAATCCACCGATGTGAAGAACTCCATAGCTAAACAGTGGGTAAGCATGTACTTAAGTGAAGATGGGATTTGCCCGAGGTAATACTCACTCAAAATCTCCCAATCGTCATTTTCTCCAGGAACTTCAAAGGTATCCACCAGATTTCCGCGCATATCAAACTGAGCCCATCGGAGCTTACATGTGATAAACAAACTGAAAACAAAAAGGTTAAGCACTCTGTAAGATGACGCAGAAAACTTACTTTTGATTAAGCAGATAGAGACCACTGACTGGTCCGTGGGATTCCTCAAAAGGACTGTTGATTACCACAAACTCACTGGACAGCATGTTGAGAAGAACCGTCTGGTTGTTGTTCGAGTAGGCGGCAGCCCACTTGTTATCCGGACTCAGGACCAGTTGCTGCATAATGCCTTCGATACCGGGATTCACGTCTCGCGTTAGATCAGAGGTTGACAAGTCGAAGGTTATGAAGTGTGTGGAGATGGAGACCATGTAGCGCATGTCGCTGGTCAGGCAAAAGGCAAATACCGCGAACTGGTGTCCCTCAAGGGAATACTAAGGATTTAAGGACTATGTAGTTGATCCCTCAATTTAATATTCCAACACCTACTTTTAGTGGTCCTCCTGGCGTGTGCAGACAATGATTAACCGGAATGAGGGCACAGTCCTTGGGGCCACTGCGATCGCAGGCCCGTAACAGCATTTTTATGTTGGGATTTCCACCAATCTCGGGAAGAAGTCGTCCGACCAGCTGCGGAGCCAGCATGTTCGGGTAGATGGCCAGGATGGCGCCACCAAGACGCAGGGCATCCGACACCAGCATCAGCTCTCGTTTCGCCTCCTTGTCGTCGGTGTTGCTAGAGGCATCCTCGAAATCTGCCAGCACAGCCTGTAGCGGACAGCTGGAGAGCTTGGCGTGCAGCCAGTCATAATTGAAGAGGACATGCTCAAACAGATCCTTAAAGCGACGAGACCGGACAAAGTGAAAGGGCAGCTCACCAAACTAATAATAATAATAATGATTAATCATCCAATCAAATCATATAATTCGTCTTTCATCTTACCTTGCGCAGGTTGTAACGTTTGGAGAGTCCATCCTTGCTGCTAAAGACCAACGGCTGTATGGGCACCTTACGATCCGCAGAACCCTCCTTGTCTGCCAAACCGAACCTATGCCGCTGAATCTCAGTAAACTTGAAAGGTTTTGGTATACCGCCACCCCAAATGCCCAAGTAGTAATCTGCAATCATGGAGTGAAAGTAAATGGCCATGTTCATGTTCTTAAAATAGCGCTCCTTCGCTGTGTCCCGGAACTGTCTATGATACCAGTTCATTACGTTGACACCGTCCGCCTCGCGTTCACTCAAATAGTTGGGCAGATCGTTGCGAATACGGGTCCAGAGAAGTGGCGGAATGCGCCGCGTCGGCGGCAGATGGTATTGGTAGACATCGTCCAGGACTTTATCGTCCAATGAGATAAGATCCTCCAGCTCGCTTTCGGATAGTCCTGACTTGGAAGCGGTTATGTAGGCCAGGGCGTGAAAGACGAGTATACGGCCGTGCTGTTTCTCCACTCGTTCGAACAGCAGCATAATGGAGTCCATCACCGTGTTGGCCAAGTGTGTCTCCTGGGGACGCGTGTAACTCCTCCATCGACAAATCTCGGCAAAGACAAGCTTTACGAAAATCGGCAGGGAGCACTTGCTGATAGCATTGGCCACCAGGCGCCACTGGTAGTTGTTGAGATCCCGGCATGCCGTCTTCATCCACATCTTGATCACATTCATTGCCAAATCCTCGCCCAGGGCAGTCACCTCAATAAAGTTCTCCTCCACGTCGATCATTTTGCACAGGACATGATACTCGTGGGACACTGTCGGATTCGCCGGCTCATTTGCGCAGGAGATGATAATCTGGAATCAGGGGAATAGGATCTGTATACAAGGTCTTTGCAATTTGGTGGATACCAAGCGAGGATCGCCTCATGCAGAACGGCTTCCTTGCGGTGTCGTTTTGGGTGAGGTGCCTGAAATTGCTCTGGTGGCGGTGTCGAGTGATTTTGCTTAGCACGCACAGGTCAAGCAATTGGAAAAACTTACTCAGTTTCCCTTCTGAGTTTGGGCATGCGGAATCATGCAGTGTGTGTATATACAGGGCGTATGAGTAATGATTATGAGGCAAGGAGTTTAAAGGGAATTTTTAGGGTAGGTTCACCCCAATATCAAGTATACGCCACCCTATCTTTTTCGATCACTTACAAGGGATTATTATTAATGTACATTTTGATCATATCAATTGATTGAATCGGGTGTTTAGGAAGTAAAAACTAAAAATATCATGCAGAAATTTGTACAGTGACAGAGGGAGGAATATATATATATATCTTATGTCTGTAGTAATTATTTACATATAAAATTTAGATCATGCACTAAGAATTGATTTAGGAAAATGTTAGTTAGGTATATTCACAAAAGTAATTAGAGAAACATGCACAAAGAGGTACGGAAAGAAGAAAAGAAGGAAGTGGACTTGGAGTTGGGTCCACAGCCTCAATGCATTAGAGGTCTCACCTTACAGTGCGGGGGCAGACGCGTTGGTATCCAGGATACCTTATTCGAGTCTTGAGTGCCCGTTAGCTGGTCAACAGAATCGAGGTAGATGGTGAGCGGTTGCGCGGGGCTGGCGTAAGTTAGTAATTGCTTAAAATGTGCTGTTAAGGGAACAAGATCATCGGGGATGTTCTCGAAGGGTAGCATGTAGTTGTAAGAGATCTGATTGAATTAGAGGGGGGTGTGTGTGTATTGGGGTAAGAGGTTAGAAGCGATTAGAATTAGTTTTTTGGGGTCTGGTTGGTGGCTGGTAAAGGATGGACTTCACCTGCTGACAGATGGAAATCAGGGTGGCCGTCAAGGCACTGGAGTCCGGCGTGGTGCCCAAGAAACGGATGACATTGATCGGTCGTGCGTGGGCGAACCATTCGGTGGCCACGAGGGAAACGCTCTTGGAGAGCAGTGAGGTCTTGCCGCAGCCTCCGTCGCCGAAAAGGACAAGTGGCTTATCTGAATCCCCCAGCATGTAGCGCTTGATACGTTCGCAACTTTCCTCGCGCCCGTAGAATATTTTGACCGAATTGTTGCAAGCGTGCAGATGCTGAAGGATCTCAGTTACTATCTGCCCCTGTGCACTGGAGTCTTCTTTGCGCATCGCCCTATCCACCAGCTTCACCACATTCTTATAGAAGTGAGAGATGAAATGATTCAGGTACTCCTCGTGCGTCTCAATGTCCAGGCCCTCCCGTCCAATCCACTCCACTGTGTATCTGGAAAGTGCACCCAACCCCCATGTCAAATAGGATTAGCATCCTTCATTTTTCATCTATCGCCGGTTTAGGCTTTCATTTTCTTCCCTTACTTCTGTGCGTTGACGGCCTCGATCTTGGCCGGCAACCGAGTGTCTCTCAGGTCACTTAGCAACTTTGCAGACTCCGTGTCCAGGCTGCGATTGATGATGTCCACGAACAGCGATGCCTTCTTCAGGTTCTGCAGGTTTATGTTGTTGATGTACCTCACATAGGACAGGCAATGGTTTTTTGTATTTTTCACGTTCAATATTCCGTTGATCACCTCTCGTTCCGTCACTAAACGCGGACCAATGGTTGTTGAGCTACCACTACGTTTTCTACTCTCTATATGCTACGCACTTACCCGACATGAAGTAGTTGTGGACATCCTCCTTGGACATCTTGTTGCTGGCTCCCAGGGAGGCAGCCGCCTTGCGCAGCAGCTTCTGCATCTTGTTGAGGGTATCCCACCACACCGCCTGATCCTCTGCCTGCAGTTTGGGCACACGCTGAGGATTGGAGTTGTATTTGACCAGATTAATTAACAAATGTTACCCACATTTTTTTGATACTTTTGGAACTATTGAAACCACGGAACCCTCACGTACTTTTTTTATGAACGTTAACTTCACTTTTTTTCTTTCACTTCACTTTTAATGTAAACTAATTCAATGTATTATGAAATTCATCCCTTCACCAGAGAACTTACCTTGTTATTGAAATTAATTAAAATAGAAGAGATGGGCTGCAACACTGAGATAGGAGGCACAGCATTGCTGTCCTTTTTGTACCACAAATCGAGGATGGCCCTGTCCACACCCATCGATGTTAGCTCCTCGCAAATTAGTGCCAACTCAGAGGACACAATGTACGTAGGAATGGGCCGGTAACCATATTTCTGACCCAAAAACACGATAAAGTTGGGACCCATCGATAGTCGCTGACAATTCTTGATTTCGCGCATGCAAAGTTCCGTGGTCATGTGATCGTCGGTGGCCTCATCTCGCACACCCCAGCGCATGTCGACCACTTGAAACTCAAGGCCGTGCTTCTCGCGACAGTAGTCCTTGATCCGCGGATAGCACTTGGCCATCAATGTGTTCCGCTCCATGGTGGTGTCTGCGAAAATCCATATTACATAACATGTTAACACTTCTCGAATACCCAGCCACATATGGCCAAAGGTTGATGGCTTGTCGACCCACCCGTAAACGTGGAGCTGGTGAAGATGCGCACGATTTTCGAGCTAACCGGCGGCAGGGACTCCAGGGAGCCCAGGAATATGGAGTCGATGGTGCGGTCATCCATATTGGTATTATCTTTAGCTACTACTCCAAATGCCGCAAGTGCAGCTCTGCGATTACGTTCCGCAGCCTTTGAAATCCAATATGTGTCTGCGCCAAAACGGGGACCCAGAAATTGGCGTAAAGTCGCTGCTGTTTGATCGATAATCCGGATACGTGGCGCATTTGACAGTCGCCTAGTTGACGGTTGTTTTTGAGTTCAGCTCGACTGACGGACACGCGGCAGTTCCCCCTTGAAAAGGGAGACTCCACGAGGAGAAGTTTCCCCGGGCAACACTTGTTGCTTCCGCCTGGATTGGAAAGCCATCGTTTGGCTTTATGGATGTCAGACGCCTGATTGATGTCTGGGCCTCCGGCTTTGACATACAACAAGTGTTTTCAAGTGCTCGGAGCCTTCCCCCAAAAACCGGCAAACTTGCGTGCCTGGTTTTCATTCGTGACCGATCCGGGATTTCAGGCGTGGGCGTGGGACTGCGATTGCTGCAACTTTCAAAGTCACCTGGAATGGCGACTGCTGAATGGTGCCACTTAATGGCTTTTCGGCTTCACTTTGGGGGTAAGTGGGTGTTAGATTTCTAGCCCGTGATCAGGAATGGGTATGGGTATGTCTTACACATTTGACCTCGACCTAGCAGCGTGCGTGTTTACACAAATAAATCAATGCCGCGGTGGAGCTCAAGAGTTGGCTTACTTCTTATCCGGAAGTTCAGTTTTTGGCCAAGTGTGCTGCTTGTGTGCCAATTTTAGGTGATGGCTTTTGATGGTTGTTCGTTGATTCGAAACTTAGGCCAAGGAAATTGGGCAGAACCTTCAAGATTATCAAGTCAAACTTGAATTACATTGTTTGAAAAAGTTTTATTCCAAAAGAAAAGCGATTTACGTTATTTTAGATCTTTGTTTTTACAGAAATTTTACTATTAGGAAATAATACTCGTGCCCAAAAGTATGCAATAAGTTTTCAAGCTTTTATAAGGTCCACAAAACTTAACATTTTTAATGTCACAAAGGAAAACACACATATTGAGTTTTATAACAATATATTTATTTTTTATGTTCGTTTTGTTAGTTTTATAAGGATTTTCATGCTTCTTTTCCGTTACATGTCGTTATATCTGTAAAATTTTGTATTCCAATATTAATTACTTCCTTTTTATTATTAAATTTTTTCTTTCCATATGTGATGAATGAAGCTAATGATTTCGTTTGATTACGGATGTTATGAAAGGGGACGATGAGTCGTATAAGAATAAGAGTTATTTGTAAAATACTCGGATTTTGTGGGATTCAATTTGATTAATGATTCAATTTATTGCATATGCATACACTTGCCTATGATTTTGAAACGCGTTTAACTAATTTTATTTAAGTTGGCTATAGGATAATGGACTATATTCTATATAGGCTATAGGTGTTAGTTCAGTTTTGTTTTTGTTTCTTTTTTGAGAGAGAGATAAAACATGTTAATCACTTTTCATTTAGGGACTGTCGCGCAAATTAAATTAACTACGATTTAGCATTGCTTTCAAATGCCTATTGGGTTCATATCATATATTATCATGTAGCTATATTTCGATAATAAATAGTTAAACATATTGAACTAAACAGTAATCAAATAATAATCATAAACAACTAATAAATATCCAAAAAATAAAAATTACAAATTACAAGCTGCAGCCCCAGGTGGACAAGCCACGAGCAAGAGATTGATCTACGGCTTGGCCAGCCCGGCATCCTGGCCATTATATTGGCTCGTTGGCACTGTTAGTCCCATCCTGGTCGGTGCTGCAGTTTTTGTGTCCGGTTTCTTGGCCGGTATGGCTTTGGCCGCCAGTGCCAGCTTATGTATGTGTGGCGACGATGGCGACGTCACTGTTATTCTACAATAAGAAAAAGCTAATGGTTTACACGCACACACACGCGGAGTAGGATGGGGCGGGTTATCGTTGTTGCGGAGCGGAGCGGGGGCGGTACAGCGGATCAGAGCGGAGCGGAGTTAGGAATTGTTGTATGTTTCGTATTTTTTTGTGTTGTTTTTGTCACATACGCATTAACATATTTACACGCATCGTTTGTTTTGAGGGCGTTTCGTTTTTATGATTTTGTTTGAATTGGCAGGAGTCATTGGAGAATTACAGCGTTAAAGTGTTGGCGGCGGTTGTTGATTTGGTTTTTTGGGGTCGTTTGTGGATGTGGATTGAGGCGGATGGTTTGCATGTATGGTTTAATTATTTAAATTAGATAAGCCGGCAAATAGCAACAGACCTTACAGACTAGCTAACTAGCGATAGGCATATTAAGAGTCAGACAAATAGAGGGTGAGAGAGTCTACGCTGTGTGCTTGGGCCTTAATGCTTGTGCTGCTTTCTGCTGTTCGAGTTGACTTCGTTATCAGCGTACCTCGGGCTGTTGTCGTCCTTTTCATACACCACGGTGCGGGTGGAGCTGACAACGGGGCCTCCTCCGCCACCGATGCTGCCATTTAGTGACTGCTGTGAGCTGCGCTTCACATGCACTGGCCGCAGTCGATCCTCCAGATCACTAATTGAGCCCACCGAGCTCAGGCTCTCTTCACTGTAAAGGATTAGATAAGATTATTATTTTAATTCTGAATCATGGACCCGGAAATTGCTTTACTCACCTCTCACTCAGCTCTTCTTCACCCTCCTCCTCCATGGCCTGCTGTAGATCCGCTATCCGCTGAAGGGCCAATCGCAGATCATTCTTCAGCGCCGCTCCCTCTGACTCCATTTGCTCCATCTTCTTCTCGAGGTCTTTGCGACGCGTCAGCGATTCCTGCTCGCGACCGGAAACAGCGTGGAACTCCTCGCGCATGTCGCGCAGACTCTTTTGCGACTTCTTGATTACGTCCTGGGCCTGCATTTCACGCATCTTTGCTTGCGTCACCTCATTCTGCAGCTTCTCCAGGGCTTCCTTGTGACGGTTGACTTGAACCTCAAGACGAGCCCGTGTTGCCTGTTCCAATTCGAGACGAGATTCCAGTTCCTTTGTACGCAGCTCCAATCTGTTTGATAAACACAATAAATTAGGCGAACTTCCTTACATAAACTTAGTACTAGTTGCTTACCGCTTGGACATCATGGCCATGGAAGGATCGCCCAGGTTCTCTACGTTATCCAGACGATGTTGCAGCTCGGTCACCTGCTCCTTGAGATTGTTGCGCTCCGCTTCCATCTCATTGAGCTTGAACTCGGCCTCGGACACGTTAATTTGCTCAGTATTCAGCTGCTTCACCGTGGCGCTGTACTTCTTCATCAACTCACCCAGCTCCTCCTCATTTTCCTCTATCTGTGCCTGCAGCTCAGCGCGATCCCTATGGGCAGCGTTGGCTCGCTCCTCAGCATCGTTTCTGGCTCGGTGCGACTCCTCGAACATAGCCTGAACTTCGGTCAGTTCAGCTTCAGCAGTTTGCCGTGCTTTCATAGCCAGCGAACGAGCAGATTCAGCATCTTCCAGTTGGTTACGCAGTTGTCTTATCAGAGTCTTGCCAGGCGTGTCAGCCTTTTGACGATCCAACTGCGTCTGGGCATCCTTGAGCAGTGCCTTGTATTTGCGAAGATCTCGTCGAAGCTTCTGGTTGAGCGCTTCCTCAGCATCGCGGTCAACGCGATCGCGATCTTCCATAGAGGAGAGGCGCCGCTCCAGTTCGTGCTTCTCACGCAGCAGCAGAGTCCGTTCCTCGTGCTCCGTCTCTAACTGACATTCGAGGGCTTTAATCTTCTTGTAACCATTGCCGCGTACTTCCTCCAGTTCTTCGTCGCGCTGCTGGGATTCACGTCGCGCTTCCTTCCGCATTGTTTCCAGGGTCATCTCCAGGCGAAGTTTGGCCTGTTCAAGTAACTGTATTTGACCAGCCATCTCGTCCAGTTCCTCCTCCTGCTCCTTGGCCCGACGCTCTGTCTCATTCTTGGAGCGCCGCAGTTGGGCAAACTCCTCTTCGGTGCCGCCACCAAAGGTCATCTCCTCCAGTTCACGCTGCAGCGAGGCGAGTTTCTCTTCTTTAAGCTCAAGGTCCAGACGTGTGTCCTGTTAAAATAATATAAATAATATATTTAATTGATTAAGTATTTCGATTTTTCCTTGGTGTAGTACTGCTTACGTCCAGAATATTTTGTAAATGAAAAATTACGTTTTAAGTTAATTATATTTTCACTCTGCTATAAAACGCTTCTGTAATCAACTGCAGCTTCTGGTTATTTAGACGTTTTAATAGCTTCTGTTTTCTGGAGTTCGAATCTTGGCTTTGTGCTCATTTGGACTCACATGAATCAGCCGAGTTGTGTAGCGGAAACTCATGGCTGTACTGTTGGGCTGGGAAATTTCAGTTTCTGTGTCTCTGACCGTGGGTTTATGCTATCTAAATCGTAGTGGCCAGTTCAGTTATCGCCCTCCATGGAGGCTCTTCCTCTTCCAGCTAATTATGAGTATCGAAAGCGTAATGAGAACGCCGCCAACGTTTTAATTTCTTTTTTGCCAGGCCGAACAATCAGAACACAGTGACACTGGGACAGACGAAAGCAGAGGGATCGCACAGAACTACAGCACTATGTATTCCAGTTATCGCACGTTGACGTTCGTCGAGCTACTGTCGAGCGGAACCGTGAAGAAAGCAACAAAGCGGAGATCCACAAATGTGTGACCGAAAGGCCGAGACAGAGATACAGATAGACAGACGGCAAGAGAGGTAAAGTATCTTGAGTACAGACCGATAAAAACATGAAACTCCAAGAATTGAGAACTCAGAACTAAGAACCGAGAACCGAAAGATCCCGGAATGGAACTATGCAAGAGAGCGGGTCGCACATGCCGCACATGCGTACATGTGTCGAATGCTCGTTGTGGGCAGGTAGGCAGTCTAGGTAGATCGTGGAGCGCATAGCCTTAGAATGTGCATGGCCAAACGAGCCGAACGAGTTTCTCAGTCCAAGATATCCAGTATCTTTATCTGTATCTCGACTGCAATGTGCGCACCGTGTCGCAATTTGCTCGAACACTAGGAAGCCAGTGATATGTTAACTGCATTTTAATTACCTAAGCTGCACGAAATCATATTCTTATTTTAAGTATGTATAATTATATTAGAATACAATAGAAATCTGTAGATTTAATTTGCACATCTTAAGAAGATTCTCGAGTATATACGAATACATTTTTTGTTCTTTTCTTTTTTAAAACTTTCCTACATAAACTAATATTCAGATCTAAAATAAATCATTTTTGTTGATCAGTGTTCTTCAAATGTTCCTATACAATTTTGTCAACTTGTATCCCGACATTAACAGTACTGGCAACATGTTGTCAAGAGCAAGAGAAACAATGTTGCCGCAACTTACCGCTAGAGTTTGCTCCAGAGTGAACTTCTCTGCCTGCAGGACGTCCTTCTCGCGACCGTATCGCTCCTTAGCCTGCCGCTCTTGACGCGACGCATCCTGCAGAGACTGGCACTCAGCATCGAACTTGCGCTGCTTCTTCTCGAGCAAATTGTTGCGGGCATTTTGCTCCTCGAGCAGCATACGCAGATCGTTCATCTCGTTGGTCATCTTCTGTGCCTTGCGCTTCCATTGGCCCACAACCTGACGTTGCTCCTCAACTTCTTCGTAGGCATCGGAAAGCTGGAATAGTAGGGGATATTAGACTTATATAATCTAGGTAATCAATGGTCATTATAGCCAACCTTCTTCTCCAATTGCTTCTTGAGCCCGACCAGCTGTTCCAGATCGTGCTCATGCTGCGTGTGCAGGCGCCTTTTGGTGAACTCTAGCTCTCTGGCCACCCGCTCGTATTTAAGCTTGTAGACTCCACCGCTGCCGCCTTCTTCATTTTCCGCATCCTCATCCTCGGAGATGCCATTCAGATCTGATTTGGCGCATATCAGCTCCATTTCCAGCTTCTCGGTCGTCTCCTGGAGATTCTTAACTTTGTTAGCTTGTTCGCCCAGCTCCTTTTCCAGCTTCAGACGCTCGCCAGTTTCCGCCTCCAGCCGCTCGGTGGCTATGTGAGCCGTGGATCGCTCTTCGGCCAAGTCCACCGTTAGCTCGGAAAGCTGTAAAGATTTAATGGCATCCGAAAGATATAGAACATTCATTTTTAGTTGTGTGCCAGTTTTCCCAAGGAATTTATTTTCATATTATTTGAATGTTTATTTCGATTTTGCGTTTTCGATTTCTGTCTAACATGTGTCCAAACAATTGAGATCTTTATTTACAAAACGCCTTTGTCGGAGTGGCAATATGGTGTGAGTTATGGGATACACTTAATGAACCTTGACCGGCGGAAATGCGAAAAGGAAGTACTTTACTTTTATATCAAATGTTTGTTTTCGGTTTTCTAATAAAAGCTAGTTCTTCCTTTAAACTGAAGTTGGAAGATAATCATCATAAATATTAAAATGTTAAAAATCTACAACAAAAAGCCCAACCTATTCGAAACAAATGTTTCATTAATATCCGCTGAATGATTTCACATTCCCATGACGTAAAATATATACAAAAATTTCAGTTTGGTAGAAAAGAAAATGAAGAAAGTCGGAAAGAAAAATGGTATTGAGATCACAAAATGCGACAAGGAAATTACTCATTTAAAAGGATCATTTACTAAACCATAGATCAAAGCATATCTGCCAGAAGTAGTACTACCATTCAATCCTATTTCCATGGCACAAATCGAAACTGACTCAATAAACTGTAGAAGGTCGGTTCAATGCCCTCATTAATAGTTCTTTTTAGACTTTAAAGCTCTTCTGAAAAACTGAATTTCCAGAAAATATTTTGGAGAACATATTTATATGAACATTTTTCCGACCCACCTAAACTTTTGATTTATTTTATTTAGCCCCAAAAACGTAAAACGAAAAACAAAACAACAAACATTATGGATATGAATATGGAATATTTCCTCCCGTCTAAAAGAATTCCGACGTGTGAATCACACAGTATTCGATCCCAAAAATAGATGCTCATCCAACTCAGGTGTGGGGGTGGAAGGAGGAGCTTTGCCGCTGTCAATGTCAGCGCAGCATGGAAGACCCCATCCCCGTCGCTGGGGTGTTTGTTTAGGAATTTAATATTTATGGAGAGGAGACATCATCACTTCCACTCAACAAAACTAAATAATAGAGGCGGAAAATTGTGTCAACGACAAGCTCAAGGTTAGCCCAACTGGTACCTCATCATCCTCTTCGCGAATGGTGCGATCATCATCATCGTCGTGGTCTCCATTGGTCAGGCTAATGGTGGCCGCCGAGGACTCCCGATCGCGGGCCACCAGAGTTACCACGCGATGTCGGTGTATGGGGAAGCTGCTTGGCCAGCTGGAAGGCCTTGGTCAAGATATTCTGTGAGGAGCGAGTGCGTCCCACAGATCCACAGCGCTCCATACTATTCCTCTCGCGCTGTCGCTCGATTAGCGAGATGGTATCATAGTCATCAAAGCCGGAACAAGTGCTTCCCGGAGTGGTACAGCGACTTTCTGACCCTCCAGCGCGACCACTGTTGCTGGTCGTCCTTCGCGTCCTTCTACCCATGGCAGTCCACTCCTCCTGTACATGATCCGTGCGCTTCAGAAAGTTTTGTATCTTTTCACTCAGATAGGCGGAGGAAGTGCGAGGATCCTCGAAGGAGGGTGAAGCACGTATCGACTGATGTACCGGCTGTCTCTGGCAGCCGAGTACAAAGGATAGATTGCCATCAAGGACCACATGCGAACTCTCCAACTGGCGCATCTCGTAGGGATCGACTCCACCCGATCCCCGGGTGTAGCTCTGTGGAAACACCCTTCGTGGTGGCGTCTGCAGTCGTGAACTGGTATTGTAGTTTGAGATCGATGACTGGGTGGAGCAGCGCGAGGACACGGAGTAGGCGGGACTGGGTGAACGGTTCACCAGGCGGAGACGATCACTTTCCGCTCCTGTGGGTGAATTCAGTGGCAGTTTCAGCGAGATCTCGTACAGGCTTTCAGAGTCCTTATTACCCAGCAAGGATGATGAAAGCGTCGAGCTGCCGCCGCTGCCACTCGTGGTTTTTGAAGTGTATTTGCTAGTGGTGTGAGTGTTCTGTTGATTCAGTGTGGATCGTGTAGTGTGGCCATTGCTCAGCACAGGACTCTGCTCCCGCTGCTTGGGCAACAAGCGGAGCTGCTTCCTGGCCTGGCTCGGCGGTGGTTTGGGTGGACGTGCCAGTGGGGCGGAACCACTCAGAGTGGAGTTCAGTGAGGAGCCGCTGCTGTTGTTGGAGGCAAGGACGCCTGATCTCGGGCCACCGTTCATGGCTGCCAGTACGCGGGCCAGAAACTTCTCCTTTTCCAATCGGTCCGATTCTAGAGGTCCTGCATCCTCATCTCCTGAAGCTGCAATGTCAGCAGTAGTAGCCTCATTAGCAGGCGACAGGGGAGGCATGGGTTCGGATTAGTGGCAAGCGGGTCAGAAGGGGTTAGAGGGTTTCGTTTTTCTATCGGGGGGCTAATGGCTCGGGGTTTTGTTTCTGTGCAAAATTTCCTTGGCCAATATTTGTCGGATTTTTGTTTCTGTTCGCAAATTTCGAAATTTTTATGTCGTTTTGTCGTTGTTTGTTATATCAATCGAGTTGGTTTTTGGTGTAGATTCTTTTTGTGTGTCGGTGGGGATTATATTATGCTAGGGGGCTGTCAAAAACTTGAGACCGTTGATGCAATTTAAATTTATCTCGGACTGAATTTTCTTGCTGCTTGTTGTTGCTGCATTTATTTCTGCCTCAGCACGCGCGCGCTTCAAATTGCCAACAGATTTTCCTTTGTTTTCGCAGGCTTTTTTATTGCTTTTGGCAGCGATTTTTCACAAACGCACGGCGAGGAAACGAATCGAGACAGATCAGATCGGATCGGTTGGGTTCGGATCGGATCACATCGAATCTCCCGGACACGGCGCTTTGGGCCTCAAGCGTACGCGACGTTTTCTCGGCGACTAAGTGATGCGTACGGATTTCGCTTGGTTCTGGCCAGCGGAAAAGCTCGCCGGCTGGCTGTTTGTCTCTCGCTTTTTGGCAAACCAATGGCCAGAAAATTCTCATTTTCCCAGAAGAGCGAGAGAGAGAAGAGGCGCCATAGAGCCAAGTCAATTGCAACATCGGAGCAGCAATTCCGCCTATCACATAATCTATGGTCTGACGGTCGCCTCTTGATTTCGGCCAACTGTTGATCCAATAATTTGGCAATCTTTGGTGGCATTATATAAATTCTATCGAATCCCATAGCATCCCAGCTGCAACTCAAACGTAGCGCGACAAAGTATTATTAATGATCTTTTAGAGCATTTAAAAATACATCTGGCTATTCTGGTATGCGATATGTGCGAAACATTGCCTTACCACATCCACATCGCATCCCATCCATCTCCACCAGAACATATACGCTCGCACGGACTCTCCGAGTCAGAGTCAGTTGGTGTTCAATGCCCAAAATGTTATTTTTAGCCCACTTCAAAAAAACAAATAATACGAATGAAAAAAGGAAATGGAAATCCATTGGCGAATTGTGCATCTTATTCACGATTAATTTGGAAAGGCAAATCGATTTTTAATTGATTGAAGAGGAGATCTGTTTCTTACCAATCTTCTACCTAAAAATCAAACTTCTTAAACGTTTTAGCAACTAATTGAAGAAGACTTCATTTATCTGTCATACCCTAACATTGCTTATTTCAGCTTTTAAAATTACATAAATCAACCTCTCTTATATATACACTTGATCCCTTCAAAGCCATATCTAAAGCTGCCAGAAAACAAACTGTCAAGCTAGTTATTATTTTAGTTAAATATAGATTTAAACACCAAATATAAATACTTATTTCTCTTGCAACAGAATCGGTTTCTTGATGAAGAACCCCCACTGCAATACAATCTAAATATATTAAGCACTCATCTTCTTTCGGCGCCCCAGATATCCAAGCACTGCCAACGCAAACATGAACTCGCAGATGACTTGTCATGTCAGATGGTGCCATTTTAATTGCAGACCCATTTGGACACATGTCTATCAGGATATTGGACTCACCTTGGCTTCCAGCTTTTGGTTCTCCGCCTTGACCTCGCTACGATCGCACTCGATCTTCTCCAGTTTGGCTCGCAGCATGAGCAGCTCCTCGTTGGCCGTCTTTAGCTGCTCCTCGGTGCGATGAACGTTGAGCAGGGGAGTAACTCGAACTAAGAGACGCCACCAAGGCCAATCACGTACGGCCAGGAATGCCTTGACATTGCGTTGAATGCAGCGCACAGCCAGTTCCTGTGGGGTTAAAATGTTAAGGGGTTAATAATGGTTACTTTGTAAATGGTTTGGGTTTTCTATTACCTGAACTCGTCGCTGTGACATCTTTTTGCGGGCCAAGTAGCCACGACAAAAAGCTTGCAGCTGTATAATCCGATCTGAGAGCAGGACATCGCGCTTGGCTTCCAACTCACTTAGAACTCCCGAGCGGAAGAGGATCTAGAACGAAAGAAAATTTATAAATAAGTAATATTATTTTAAAAATATTTTAAATTAAAAGTAGACCATATTTATTTATAATGTTGAACCTTTTTTTTTCATTTTTAATTTAAAAGTTGTTTATTTTTCTTTGGGAAATTTATTTTGTAATTCTCAGCATTATCCTAATCTGCAGTCCTCACATTATTTAATAAGTTATCTGAACTCTACTACACGTGTCAGATGCATAATGAAACCTCAGCAACTCAAGATTCAAGCGGAAAGTGAGAAATCGAAAAATAAAATCACATCATTCCAAGGAAGTTTAAGGTCAAGGTGGGCAGACTTAGCCCAGACCATGCAAATGAAAACGGAAATGAATGGAGGGGCAACGGAGAGGAAAATTCAAATTATGAGCAATTTGAACACCTGTTCGCAAAAAAGATGCCCACACTCTTACAGGTGTGAAAGTGAGACGAAGAAGCAGAAACGATGCCGGCAGAGGGCAATGAAAACGAAATTGTAAACAAGATATTGCCATAAAAGCGAAAAAACTTCACTGGAATGGTGCCCTCCTAATGGCGGTTCATGCAGATGGAGCAAATGCACAAACTCAACGGTTTAGCATATTTAGGGCCACCGGGTTCCCATACAAATTAGCTGCTGAAAAGACGCACCTTAGAGGTGTGGCCCCCAGTCAGTCTCAGTCCGTCTCTGTCTGTCAACGCCGAATTCGCGACCAAGTCGAGAAACTATTTTCTCAAAATCATAATTATGCACGGCACGTAGACAAAAATGAAAGTAAACCAATGTGAAATGGCAAACTAAACTGTCTTGTGCCGGCGATTGCCGAGTGTGTGTGGCATAGTCATCACCTGCTGGTGGCGGTTGGATGCATGGACACTCGGATGTGACCAATTGGACACAGGGAGTGGTTGGTACCGAGCGCGATAAAAAGCCAACTAAAGTACTTCTTGATGGTGCTAAAAAATCTGTTAACCAAACGTTATTTCTAATTTTTGAGACCAAGAGAAAGTTAATTGAAAATTGTCAACGGTTATGTTTCCGATCAACCTGAAAAAAAAATCCTTATAATCAATGATAATTTATAAGTATCTTACAGAAAATATATAAAATATATGTAAATCCAAAATATCACATTTCAGATTAAAAGTCTTTAAGCCAAAAAGATAAAAACTCAATTTGGGAAACCAGGTGTTAGGTCCTCGGACTTGGCTAATCAAAGCAAAACTAAAGAGGTGAAAGGAAAGGGATAGAGAACCAGGGGAGAAAGGAGGAAAGATAAACCCATAGCAGGTGGTTTTGTACAATAAATATTTATTCCATTTACAGCATACGTTAGATAGAGTTAGATATAGACAGAGGCAAAACAGTAGTTGCAGCTGAGAGTTAAAATTGGAGTGGCTGGGGAGGATCGGAAGCGGGATCGGCTCTGCCGCTGCCAAGTCAGTGCAGCCGCATAGTTACCTCTTTCGTGTAGGTGGGATAGATCTCCACCTGGGTCTGGATGCAGCACACGGCTTGCACCTGAGCGACCACCTTGCTGGCCACCATACTGGGGCAGTGCGTCGTAACGGTGGCACTTTGTTTTCCAGCCGCTGCAGCTGCCTCGAATTTTTGCAGCAGCTCGGCGATTTTGTTGGATTTGCCACAGCTCTTTGCCTCAGGCATTTGCTCCTCTGCCTCGTCACCCTCCGATTCGCAGAGACTTCCGGTGGAGTTACTAGTGGAAGTGGATGTGGAGAGCTGTGTGTTGCTAATGTGTCCAGAATCATCTGAGTCCTCTTCTTGCTCTGCCCGGATTTCCTTAGTGGGCTTCTTTAGAGGCTGCTGGGGTGTGGACTTCACATCCTGAACTACTTTCACCAGAAGCTCTTGGTTTCTGTCAGATGTCTCTCCTAGCTTAGGAGGTATTATCTTGCAGGACTCCAGCTTGGGTCTGCCCACCTTCTCCTCGTTGGCGTAGTGCAGCTTCTGAAGTTTCTTCTTATTTTTCACCAGCTGCGAGTGCTCCTTGGTGACTCCACGACTGGCGGTCCTTTTGGGTTTGGCACTCATGCTCTCTACCTGTCGCAGGATATCCTGACCCTTGGCCAAACACTTGACCAGCAGCTCATCGCTATTTGCATTGGGTGATTTTGGTTTCCCTGCTCCGGGTTTCAGGGTGGAGTTAGCCCTTCTGGCCACCGGTCTGGCGGTGATTTGTCGCTTCTCCAGGCTAGAGTTGGCTCGCTTGGGCATGACTACAGCTGGTGGAACGGCTGCTCTTGGAGTACCTGTAGTATTTAGGGTTAGCAGGGATCGAGTCCGCTGTTTATTGGCCGTCCTCAGGACATTGGGTTGCTCCAGGCAAAAACTTTCGCTGCGCTTGCGAAGACTCGATTGCTTTCGCACTGGAATCCTGCTGCCACTTAAATCACTCAAGGAGTTATATCTGGAATCCGTGCCTCCTCCTCGTAGTAGCAGTACTGATCCTGCCAATTCCGGAGACTGGTAGACCTGCATCCTAGCTCTGCCAATACTTAAGGTGCTGTGTGACTTGGCCAACATGGGCTGGTGATCGCAGAACTCCGCCGGCGGAGCAGGCATCTCTTCTGGAGGAGCTAACTTAATTCCCTCCAAAGGCGGAAACTCATTTAGTATATGATCAAAGCTCTGGAGCACCTCGTTCAGTTTGCTCTCATCGTGAGCAACCTTCTCCAGCTCCGCGAAAATTTCGTCCTCCAGGGACTGCTGTGCCAAGTTTAGGCTCAGGCTCAAGTGACTCTCCTCATCGCTGTCCACATAGCTGCAAACACTGCTGCTCATCTGGCTGGGAATTTGCAGGGGGACAGGACTTATCGGTACAGCTTTGGGTGTATATTTTCCACCCACACATCCTCCATCCACTGTGCAAAGGGCACTCATAGATCTGGTGTGCTTGCTGCCTTTGTAATACAGTTTTCCACTCAGCTTGGGCGTTAAATTATCCTCGATTTTGTGGCGTATATGGGAGAAGAACTTTTTGCCCGCCCCCAATCCATGCTTTGGGGCTGTGGTTGTGGCAGTAGGAGAAGGCGGAGGAGGATTACTGCGCACCTGGCTCAACTTGGACTTGACCGTGTGCTTGTACATTGCTCCGAGATTATGTAAAGCAATTGTCCAGCGACTCGAGAGTCGGCAATGAGTAAAAGTGCATATAATTTCGCAATAAATTGCAGTTTCCTTTTCAATATTCAACGGCGACTGGCCACCACTTTCACGGTTTGGGCGGCGGCAGCAAACTCTGGTGCTCTCGGATGTGGTATGGTGTTTTCTCTTCGGGCTCGGCGACGCAACTGAATTTGCTGGCCAAACAGACGCAGTCCGAACTCGAGTCCCAGTCCGAGTCCAAGCCAAATGCTGGCTCTGCATTCGAAAGTGGCTTATCGAGAAACGGCTGGCACATAAACACAGCTCAAAGCAACAAAAAAAAAACACAAACTTGGCTGAGGTCGCGGTCGTTGGTAATTGGTCGAGGGAAAGGGGCGAGTGAATGCAACAAAGCAAACAGCCACCACCGAGCAGCGAACCCCAACCACCAGCTACACCGATTTACCGATCCTCGGGCTTATGCTCGTCCAATGATGCTAATTACCAGCACCAACAATTGGCCACACATGCTCGACTTGCGGCTACCCAGCATAATTAGTCACATCATCGCCATCAAGGCAATCACAAAGAAAAGCGAAACAAGTGAGGCAATGGACTAGGTCTGGAACTGCCCTCGGCTGACTATTTGTGTTTCCATTTTGCCTTTTCATTGCCAGCAATTGGACTTGCCCTGGCTGCTTTACAAAAGATTCAACGAGATCTGTGGATGGGCAGGGCAAAACTGTCATTGGGCTGTTTATTGGGGACAAATAAATATTGGTATAGGCTGCAATGGTCTAGACTTTAGAGGATGCATCACGGTTGAAAGGTCGTTAACCAGAGCGGGTTCTAAGTCTGCTGACAATTCAAAATTGTTGTACTCAGTTACAGACTGAAAGAGATTAACTTTTGACTTTATCATTAACAAGAAAATATCTTTAATAACTTTTTATAGAATTTAATTTGTTAAATGAAAGGCAAATGCATTAAATAAATAACCCTAGATTGTAGTTCGATTTGCTCTTATTACTATATTACACTTTAATTTCCATTGAACTGTGTGATTAAATCATTAGATATCATCAGCCTCGGACCACATTTGATAGCAGCCTTGCCAATATCCACAAAATCATGATAACAAATGCACGTCGCATTTTAAGATCAGGAAATCCTTGATCCCCCGCAGTCATCATTACCATGCTCGTGACAGAAGCTGCTGTAACGATGTCATTGGGGCTTCCCTTAAACTTTTTTGTGGCCACAGATTGAGGCAATTACAAGAAACATAATCGAAGTAAACAAGTCCAGCGCAAATGTCGATGAGATTACACAGTCCGTTCGAAACGCATCTCACGCAGCTTCCTGGTTATTGTTTCATAATTAAAAACTAGTTTACATATATAGTATGCAGGGCTCGTCTGGGTGGCTGGGAGATTAAAGCTAAAGACGCTAGCCAGCCGCGCCCCCTTCCAAAAGGGAGGCGTTAATGAAGTTTTCGTGTCTCGATTGCGTTTGGTTTGGGCTTTTATTTTCCCATCCGTTCGATCGGGAGAGCCAATTTAAAAGGTATTTCTCCCTCCGCCCCTTTTTTTTCGGCGTTGACAGAACCCGCCTCAACCGAGTTATATAATCATGTTCGGCAAGCAGACAGCCATCAGCCATCAGCCATCCGCCATGAACAAACCACTCCCCATTTCTAATGAAAGCGAACGCTGGAAATTTCACTTTGGTTAAGAAAAAAAATTTTAATGTGCACTGGTCAAATGTGGTTTCCCAGTGAGGCGAATGCAGGTTGCAACGTCATTTTGGATTTTTGTTTTGGTTGCCGTTTTTTCTTTCTTTCTTTCTTTTTTTGGTGAAAGTCGGCGAGGCGACAACGCTGCCGTGCGTGTGTTCGTAATCATAATCGGGGGAATCGGTATTGGTTTCGGATTCGGATTTGGACACTTTCCCGTACGTACAAGGTAGATGCAGACGATGGCGCAGACAGCACAGCCGATGGCTAGCAATACAAGGATTGCCTCAGCCACCACCAAATCCTCTGGCCCCTCGTCACAAAATAGACCTAGGATTGGAACCCGGTTGCGAAATGATCCGACGGCACTCGCGTTGCCGTTCCATGGCAAACAAACTGCACTTTTATCCGACCACATCTCGCCGAGAGCTCAGGCGTTTTCCATTCGCAAAGTCCAACTGAGGTACAGAGAAGCCCCGTCCATCTTGGGCCCATCTTCCAGGCACAGAGATTGCATCTGGGGAATTCTATACCCGAGTCAGCAAGCAACAATGGCGAGATGAACTTGACCGTGAAAGTAGCCAGCGTCATCGCCGAGCAAAAGAAAGACCCGCTTAGGGGGAAGACGCACAAACTGGACTGGCTGCAAGTGACGTCAAAGTTGTTTTATTACGATCACTTCACTGACCACCGAAAGCACAGTTCGATTCACAGTTCCATCGCCGAGAACAGGAAATAAAAAAAAAAACTCTAGCAGGCAGCCGAGTGAATCCAGAAATGCTGCAAGTAACTGATATATTCCCAGGCAGTTAAGACACCTGCGGACAGGGATTTAAAGCCAGTCAGGCTTCGATTTTTTTAACAATATCATCAGAAATGTTTTTTTGATTAATATGAAATCAAGGTGTCATAAGCTATTGACCTTAAGCTGTGTAAGCTGATTCTAAAGCTGATCGAAAATCGATTTGGCTAATTTGTCAAAAATGTGCATGACTGGATAAATAAACAATAATTGAGTGGATATAAATATTAAATATTAACTTTTCTCTGGATTCATTAAGCTTAATTTTTCTTGGCACGTTCCCTGCTAATCTGCCAGGTGCGATTTTTGTCTTGATATATGTTGTTCTATTTAAAAGACGCGAAATTCTAGTTTGAACCTTACGTTTTCGAAGGAAAGTAACACCGCTCAGCAACAATGTGAATTGGTTTTAATATTAAGCATAAATTATTCAAATGCCTTAATATATTCTAATTTGATTAGAAGATGAAGAAAGAGCCTACAACGTTGGTGAAAGAGAATGGACAGAAATAGATTCATCGATCTTTGCGTCAAGTCATGCTTACTTAGTTTAGCTCTGAAGTGAAGATGAGTAACCAGTTTGAGGTTTCCTCAAAATGCGAACGCTGCTGTGGATTCGATCCACCTAGAAAGGGATCATGATGATTGAGAGGTGGCCATTTAATATAATAATTGCAGGTTGACTCCAAGTTGATGAAAGGATCCTGACGAGGCGGTGATTGTTCGCATGCCATAAACAATTACAGAATGCTGTTGCAGAGTTTGAAAATGTTTCAATAACCGTCGACTGGGGAATGACAGTCAACGAATTCCAAGGTAATTTCTCGATTAGATTGAAAGTAACAGCAAATTGTTTGGATAAATACGCGGAACATTGACAACGAATTCCTCTGCGTTACGTTACGTTTTAAATAACCATTATAACAATAAGCTCATATTATGTGTAAGTGCTTGCCTTAAAACGTAAAATCCTGTCAATAAACTTTTTGTAACAAGTCGGCGCGAGATAAGCATACACGACAATGGCAAACGCCACGCACGGGTTTAACGATCTTTAAAAATAAATATATATACATGTTAACATGAGCATGAATGAGTTTTAAGAAATGAAAAAAAAAAAAAAAAAAAAAAACCTGAGAGGAAGAGCCAGGCAGTCGTAAACTGAAGTTAATGCCTGCTAAATGGTTTGCAAAACAACCGAAAGTTCCAAGCCAAGATAACTGAGCTGAACCCTAACCCACATTGGATCTTTTGGCCCAGACACCAAGAAATCAGCCTCATTTTGTCGGGCACAGGTGAAAAGTGAGGAAGTGCCGAGTTCTAAGTGAGATCAACGACTGGAGGCTTTCTGTTTACAGACATCTTTTCATTGATTCGGAACTTTGTCGAATTGTCGGGTACAATTGTTTTGTTGTATCTAAGTAGAACTTCTCGTTTTGATCACTGTAATTGTTACAATATAATGGCTAATAATTTCTGTAAGTGATTAGGTGTATTTAAATAGTTTCAAGTATTTTTTCAATTACCAGCCATGCAATTATTTAATCCATCAAGTTGTAATGAATAATCCCTTTCGAAACGATAGTGTAATACATTGTGTCAGATTTTATAATTTTCCAATTAATATTAATGATACCTGAGGCCAACTTATATAAGCAAGTAGCTGGTGAAGATCAACCAACTATTGATGGCATTTTCGACCCGCAACTGTAAATCACTCAATGATATGCGTGTCGATTATATTATGCTAGCAAAATCATGTATAATCAATGCATATATTAATAACTTAGTCAGGCCAAAATGGTCAGTGAAAGCCTATTGACCCACTATATAGCCAGATGTCTGGCTAAAATACCGATACGGATTAGAAACAATCTCCATCGACCGGTTGTTCTGGTCTTCATCCCTTTATTGACAAATCCGTAGAGTATTTGCCTTTACTTAGCCGTAAGATTTGTGTCTATCTGCCACTGCAATTGCCCTGAGGGGGGTTGACTGCACTGGCCGGACAGGCCTGCCGTTCCAACCAGTTAATGTTCGTTCATCATGACAGTGACCGCTCTGCTGCTGCTGCTTCTGCTGCTGCTGTTGCTGATAGGCCGCCCTTGCCCGGTCGCCGGCAGCAGAGACAGAACGCAGCGGGCTTTATTTAACCAAGCCTCCGTCTAGAATCTTGCAATACTTCGGTTCGAGGCTTGTAACGATTCGGAGGTACACGACAGGTTAGCTCTGATCTGCCAAGCTCTGCTCAGAAATTTCATGTTCTTTTAGTGAGCGGCGCGACGCGAGTGAGTGATAAAATTTGGATCGCGGATTGAGACAGAAAATCGAAAACAACAGAATACCTTAAGTCGCACTTAAGTGGATTTTAATTGACGCCTTGTCGTGAATTGTCATCGGGTTTTTGGATTTGGCCAGTTCGGTTTATGGGATCGTTAACGGGAATGCATATATTAAGCTGGTGGCTGTGGCTGCTGCTCCTTGGCGCAGCGGGAAGTGAGTTTCGATCGCCCATATCCAATTTTTATGTTCGTTCTGCAAGATTTGCCTCATCTGCTTTTTCAGTGCTCGCGTCTGCTCAATACTTGGCTTATGAGCCTGGAAAGTGCGAAGTATCCATTTCGAATGTTATCCAGGATATGATTAATACTGAGGCACGCATCATTCTCGGAAGACCCCGGCCATCGCAAACAAAGCTCCTTCGTTATGATCTTTATACTCCTCTTAATCCGGAGGAGCGTCAGTTGCTGCGACCAGGAGATCTTAACGCGCTGAAGAACTCGCACTTCAATCCCAAATGGCCAGTTAGGTAAGTGGAAAGACCAAAAAATTTAACACTGTAAGCTAATTATAAACCTACAAAAAATAAATCAACATTCTGAGTTCGGGTTTTACTACTCTGAACTAGAATATCAATTAGATAGACAATTTGGAGAAAGGATATATATGAAGGATCAACGACACAAGAAACAAATCTTATAAACATTCTATCTCCTCTTTTTAGGGTTTCCATTCACGGCTGGGCGGGAAAGAGTACTTCTTGCTCGAATGCCGCCATTAAGGATGCCTATTTATCCCGCGGCAACTACAACGTAATAATTCTGGATTGGAGTCGCCAGTCTTTGGATATCAGTTATCCGCGTGTTTCCAAGCAGCTACCATCGATAGCTGCCAGTGTGGCCAAGATGCTGCGCTTTCTGCATGAAAATACAGGTGTTCCCTACGAACAAATCTACTTGGTAGGTCACAGCGCTGGGAGTCACATTTCCGGCTTGACTGGTAAGATATTGAAACCCAACCGATTGGGTGCCATAATTGCCCTGGATCCCGCTGGTCTTACTCAACTGAGTCTGGGACCTGAGGAACGGCTGGATGTCAATGATGCTTTGTATGTAGAATCTATTCACACGGACCTAACGTTGCTCGGCAATCCGAGTACCAAGCTCAGTCATGCATCCTTTTTCGTAAACTGGGGCCTGGGGCAGCCACATTGTCCCAACGCCACGGCCACAGAGTTTGACTTTGTATGCGATCACTTTGCGGCCATGTTCTACTTTGCCGAGTCAGTGCGTGAGCCCAAATCATTTGCTGCATTGCGCTGCAATTCGTCGCAGTCGGTTATCTCGGCCACCTGCAACTGCAACAGTGGGGGCAGCCGAAAATATGCAGCTCAGATATGCACAGGCAACGAGTTCATGGGCGGTGAACCGGCGGTCCCCAAGAGGGGTATCTTCTATCTGAGTACACGGCAACAGTCACCATACGGTTACAACGATGGCTTGGTCCACATCCGACGACCCCGGCCGTCCACAATTCGGGACACAGCGGATCGGCGGCCATTTGGATAAATGTAAACCCAAGTCAAGCAAAATTGCCACAGACCAAAATGTGATTTATATACATATTTAAGTTTAGTCTTAACCAAGAGCTAATCCGTCCAAAGAATTCGAATAAAACAAAGATTAATTTACAATTAAGAGAAAATCTATTCCGAATTCCTTTAGTAAAACTGAAGCACTGCCCAGATGTGATGTTTGGCCTTTTTAATTAGCAATAACTATTGAACGTGTTGGGCCAATGTCACTTTTTCGGATTAACCAACTAATTACGCGTGAGTAAAAACAATTAGATGGGAGTTGCCTTCGACAGCGGTTGATTAATCTTATCGGAACGTGAGAGATCGAGAGACAGCATGGAGGGGGAGAAACGTAGAAGAGGTACTGCTCAAACTGGTTCAGCCGATAATCCCACCAAAATAAGCAATAAATGCTTAATTTTATTTAATACACATATTTACGAAAACCAGTTGGTCTAGCTACCAAAGCAATTAGAAACTTCAATTGCACGAATAATTGATTTTTGTCATTTGTATTTTTAACTTTTCTAAGGAGGCCATAAATAACATATCTCCAGCTTAGGCTTCATTAGCTAAATATCATCTTTATTATCTAATAGTTTAGTTCGAGACGAGATGTATTTAAGTCGTAAAAAGTAAGAAAACGAAAGTAATAGCTAGTTTTAGTTCGAATAAATTTCACAAGATTGTTGCGAATCTGTCTTACTAATTTATTGAACTTGAACTGTAAAAGATTTTATGAACTCACCTGACTAGGTCCAATGCGATAACTGGCCACATCCAGCTCATTGACTGCTAATATCTGCTCTACGCTCACATCCTTGTTGCTAGCCAAATCACCGGCCAAAAGACCAAAGCGGCGAACAAACTCCAATAATGGCACTGATTCGGGAAAACCAAGGCGATGCAGACGTGCAGCTTCTAGGACTTGTGAGCCACGTAGCTAAGCGATTCAGAAAATAAGTAAATTATAAGTTTATTACATTTTATAGGGACAGTGCTGAAGCTCACCTGACTCCTTAACAGTGGCACATTAACCATTTCCTCCTCGCTGGCCGCCTGACCGGCAGCTGAGCTGGGCGATCCATTTGCTGTGAACTTGGTGTGTTTGCCAGCGTTGTGTTGCAGCAGATAGCAGTGTACAAAATGAGTTCCAGTGCGTCGCAACGTGTCGATAATTCCGTCCACGGTGAACTTCACCTGTAGCATAATGGAATTGCGTTTCACTCCGGCCGTAGTGAAGGAGCGACGAATACTGGACACGCGACGCAGTGACTGAGTGCCTTCCAATCCAGCAAAGGAACCACAGAAAACCATCGCTCCCGATCCTCGTGTCAGTGAGCCAATGTACAGGCGGTTGATTTCCTCCCTACTGCTGTCTTGTAGCAGGGAAACCGCATTTCGAATTCCCGGATGCTCACGACTATGCCGCACCCAACCATCAACAGCATAAAGCACTGGATTAGTGCCCTGCAGATGGTGAAGTACAAACTGTCGGGGACCGGCGCACTTGCGCAGTAGCGAATGGTGTTCCCGGTCACCGTAGTGTGAGAACAAACGCTCGAGGAATGTATCGTCGTTGGAGTTTGGATAGATGGCTTCCTCATCCAAAAGCCTAAAATATAAATCAGTGTCACAAATTTCCTTATTAAAAAGTTCATAAATTTAACTCACCATAGCATGCCCCGACGGTCGTGTTCGCGTAAATCTCGCTGGGAAGAGCGCACCACATGGTTTTGGGGTGCCTTGTCGATTAGCGAGATCAACGGTCCCGGATGGCACTCCGAAGCCTGATCCATTTCGATTTCCACCAGCTCCTGGGCATACCGATCGCGGGGGGCCACCAGTGTGGTATGATGGAACAGCATCTGCAGACGCTCCTGGAGATAGTTGTGACGCAAATCCGCCAGGGTAGCGCCAACCTGCTGGCCACAACTTGCAGGATTTTGAAAGCCAGGCGTGTCAATTAGCATTATTGAAGCTATGGTGTGAGCCGATGTACAAATCTGACGGTTGATCAGAGCCACCACTGCAGCCAGAGCCTCGGAGTATAGGCCAATGACCAAAGCCTCTAGACATTCCCAAGCCCACTCGTGGCCAGTGTCAGAGGTGGGCGATTTCGAAGGACTTAGACCGCCATTTGGGGCATTTGGTTGTGTTAAACCAAAGGCAGCTGAAGACAGATCCTCTAGATTCACACCCAACAGACCTGATGCCTTCCGGGCAGCTGTAGGATTTGCAAACTGTGTACGGGCTGTAGATCCAGTCCCCAGTTTTGTGACACCAGCTATGCCCAGATGGTAAATGGCCGCCAGAATGCTCCAGATTCCCCGCACCGCCTTGGCATCAATGTTCAACGTTTCAAAGGCCTGAACCGTTCGCATAAAGTCATTAGCCGCTCGATGACGATCCTCCAGCTTTTGGGACAAGGATATAAATGGATGACTGTCCTCGGAGGTAATGTTCTCCAGATGCAGCTCCTTTTGCAACAAACCAGCGGCGCCAGCCAAAAGTCGCGTCATGATGTGGAAGCTGTGTTCATGGCCCAAACGACGACCAGCTCTCTGTCGTTCCGGGAGTAGAACCTAAGCGAAAAACCAGGTATGAAAATTACACGATTGCTGGTATCTAATGAAAATTTACCTGTAGTGATGCAGATGCAATCTGGCCGGTTTGATCAAAATCCAGGCTCAACAGCTGCGTCATCCGCGTGGCATTCGAGTTGAGGCAAGTTTTCGTATTACCAAAAGCCTCCAGAATGGTGCACAGGGCATTGACCTTCTCTGCATTTATGAAGTTATTATAGGCACCTAAAGAACAGACAAGAATTGTTTTTATTCTTTTTTAGAACAAGTATCTTTTGAAATTAATTTATCAAAACAAAATTCTCATTTGTGCATATTAATTTTCAATATCTTTTGTTGTAATTTCGATTCTCCATGAATTCATTAAAAAGAAATTAATAAAAGAGAAAAAAGAGTTGTGGATTCTTTAAAACCTATACAGACAGGTTCCTATTATTGATTTAATATGGATATTTTATTTATATAAAAAGTAAAAAAAAAAAAGATAATTAAAATATTCAAATGATTCCTAATCTGATACCTAATGTTTACGTCAGTAGAGTTGTATTTTTTTCTTTGTAGCTTTTTCAGTTGCCCAATCAAATGAAATATCAATAATATGTATCGCGGCAATTTACATTTTCATTAGACTGTTCCCCCTTTTTGGGTCATAAATCTAACAATGGAACCGAATTCGAGGCTTGACTAATTGCAGCTGCATTTCTTGGCCAACAATGCAAATGAGCCAATCGAACGCAGATTGCATTTTAGTGCGGTATCGCTGGTGTGGCAGGCAAACTGGGCCAGCCAGCAGCCCGCAGCTAACAACAGCCTACGGCTAAAAGGAAAACAAACAACAAATGCAACTGCAACTCGAGTGCGAGTAGGAGCAGCCACGACAATAAGATGGTGGAAACGCATACCAGCTGCCAACGCCAGGTAGTTCAGTGCATGCTTGAAGCTGGTGGATTTGCCAGAACCAGATCGGCCCATGAATATCAAGCTCTGGTCGCGCCGCGTCTCGACCAGGCTCCTGTAGGCGGTCTGGGCCAGTGAATAGACGTGGGGCGGCATGTCCTCCGTCTTGCAGCCGCGGAACATGGAGACAACCTACGAACGAGAGACAGCAGCCGATAAATAACCCGCTTAGGCCAGTAACCAGTTGGTAGTTACCTTTTCGGAGTAGAGGGACAGCGGTGCCATGGGATTGACCACGAGCAGCGTGGGCCCCGCCTTAGTGTGGATGAGATTGCTGGCGTATCGCTGACGGAGGCAATGGAGCACGGACGCCTCGTTCAGATATTTAAGTTCACATATGTCCTCGGCTAGATCCAAGGCGGGGCTATTCTGTTTCTCCACATCGTCCTCGTCGACCGTGAGCTGCTCTCCATTATGCAGGAGACGCAGGTTCAGTTTATGTTCCTCATCCCGACCAGAAGACGGCGTTGGTAAACGGATGGCTGCAGTGAAGCCACCGCGATGCACCAGCCAAACACGCTCCGGCTGACTGGCGTCCGCCATATCCGCCTCCAGATCATGGCCCACTCCTTGGGCTCCTCCTTCTACTCCTCCTCCATTGCCATTCTCATGGCGGCTCTGCAAAAAGATGGAAAACAAACAAAGCAAACACGAAAATTGAGTTAAATTGGGGTCAACATTTTGTCGGCACAACTTCAACTGAAGCAGCAGTTCGGCAGTGTGGGGTGTACATTGAGTTTATTTTCGGATCGGCGTGGATCGGGGAACATTTTCACGCATTTATTCCATTTATTATCCCTACTCCACCGCCGCAGGCAACCGGCAGCCAGCAGCAGAGTTGCTTTCCGTTTATTTCGGGTGCATTTCTAAATTTGATGATGTTTCTAAATCCTAATTAGCCGCCTAGACGCGCCAAATGCTATTGGGCTAGACAGCCAAACCGACGACGACGCGGATGCGCCATTATGCAACCCACCAACGTCGTCGCCAGCATCAGTTCACATTTGTGGCTATAAATGGCATTTAGCCGCCGTAGCAGCATCCCAGCATCTCCCTGCTCACTAAGATCTCCCTTCTCGCGGTATAAGCAAGATAGATCTTCTCCCGAATTATGAAAATATTGTGCAAGGTTCAATAGCCCTCAATTAAAGGCACGTTTTTGGTAGAGTGTGCGCGGGAAACTAATTAATTTTGTAGATGTTGGGAAAGCCGGAACGGAAATCGAATGTAGTCTTTCATTAGATTCTTAGTCACTTTATTTTTATGGCTCTTCGACGGTTTCAAAACGTTTGTTTATAGGCTTTTAATTTAATTGAAGCAGATCCCATTTTGGTTATAGGAAGTTATTGAATTTAGATGGAGGTGTTTTTAGAATTAGATAAAACTAGTCTCTTATAACATTTTCCTGTGTATTTATGTAAAAACAGCTCTTGACTAAGATTCTAAAACCTACACGGTTCAAAGTAAATCAAACACAGACCTTTGAATATAGACCAAGTCATACCCCGTTCAAGTGGAAAATCTAATTTATGTCTTTTAATTTGATTCATTGGCTCGATGGACCCGCTTAATTAGTTTCCAACTGGGACAGAATTCGATAGCCCAGTTCAGTTCACAGCTCGCGTACACTCATCAATCGGGTGGAACTTGTTTAGAGAAATATTAAGATAAACAAAATAGTTCCCCGGGCGCATGTCCACTGTCAATCAATGCTGCACTCCACTCCACGGCAAAGTCAACGAACCCGCAGACGTAGCCGCAGCTGTTGATGATGATGGTGATGATGATGATGGCGAGCACGCAAATTAGACGGAGAAGAGGCGGAGGCTCTACACAGAGACATCAGACCTGACTAATTAACATGGATAGCGGATAGGATAAGACGGTGGATGGATGGATGAATTGGTTACCAAAAGCTACCGTCTGGATTTCATATCCAGCTATCTTTTACTGAATTATGCAACCCGATTCCAGTTTGTAAAGAACTTTAAAGAGGCGGCCACGCCGTGAAGTTAACTCAAACCTAAATGAACACTTCCGCTCGACGGCTTCGCAGGCGTATTGAGCCATAAAGTCATACCGCCATAAATGCAGCGACAAGACGACGACCGTACCATACCGTAAATTATGAGCTTGGGACTCAACGGCCCACGCACCGTCCGAGCATAATAATAAAAGGTCTAACAACTAAATCGTACATTGGGTCATGGTTCGGCGATCTATCGATCGATTCCCATCTTTTGTTCGTTCGTCGGCTTGTCCATTCATTTGTTTCTTTATTGCACCCATCGATGTTGGAGAGAAGTACTAGAAAGTTTGCGTTGGATAAACATAAATGCCCACTAAACACTGTGCAACAAAGTTTAGACTTCTAAGGAAGTTGTTGTTTCTAAATAATATTTAAATCGAACCCGAATGCTGGTAGACCTAAGTCAATAGTGAGTTAAAAGGTTTTGAACATGATTTGCCAATTCATTTCAAATGAATTATCATCTCCTTCCCTCTTTATAGCTCTCTACGTACATTAACAAAATTTCTAACTTTTTGCAGCTTAGTGTAGTTTTTGTGTGCACCTTTTGCTTGACGATTGCATCGTAGTTTTTATAGTTGGCGGCCAGGGAACTGGCCCAAATGGCCGGCCATTGAAGTCCAATATTCTGTGCATCGCGGCGTCGTCGGAACGAACTCCTGGTACTGGGATTGGGTGACTGTGGAGCACTCGCGGCGGCTGCAGCTGCGTATTTCGATGCAGCTGCTGCGGAAATGTTCCAGGGTGGACGGATAGAAGAACCTCCTCCAGGAGAAACCTTAGTTTCCGATGTCTTTCCGTTGCTGCTCCTGAAACTAAGCGATCGTTTCGTAGAGCGCTCGAAGATCGGTGTGACCGGAGCTTGTGGCGGAGAACATGCCAAGGCAGCGGCTTCTTTAGCTTTCGTGGCCGCCAGACGAGGGGGCTTTGGAGGCGGAGCAGTAGAAGGAATAGCAGCGGATGAAGATGAAGGCCAACTGCTTGAGTTCTCTGAGCCGCTCTCGCTAATGGTCTCCGAACTGATACTGTTCTTGCGCTGAGCCTTGGGCGTTTGCCTGCCAGCCTTAGATCCTCCAGCGGCTGCATTTCCTGAACCCGCTGTTCGCTGGGATTTGTTTGTGCCACAGGCATGTGCCTTGCCCGTGCAACCTTTGTGGAAAGAGGGATTTAGTCCCGATCCTGGTGCTGCTGGCACAGCCGGAACAATTCCAGCGCGCAGCGATTGCTCGAAGCTTTTCGGCTTGAGGAACATGGCTGTTATGCGATCACTGGGTACACACAATTGTCATGGCCAGCTTGCGGAGCATGACCAGAGCGGATTAGCAAACAACAAACAGATATACAGATACAGATACTGATGCGAAGATACACAATAGCCAGAGTCTGAAGCGAAGCGGGAAGTAGGCGACGATTGGATAACTGGAGCGCCCGCGGAACCTTGGAACTGTTAGCTTTATGTGGCTGGAGCACTTAGCGCTTTGACATTAGACAATTGCGCGGCTGAAAATGGCCAATCATCGATCGATCGATCGATGGACCAAACCAAACCGAACTGATTGATTGATTGCACTGCAAGACTCAAGTCACGAACGCGACGACGCCAGAGAGTTATGAATTAAAGCCAGTCCAGACCGTATGACAGCCAGAATAGTAATCGTCATGGCACACAAAACACCAAAATCCACTCCGCCAGGCAGCAGGCACTACAACTGGTAACCACATCGAACTTCGCCGTGGGCGTCGCGCAGTCTTTTCTCGATTTCGATTTCCGTACCGAACCTGGGTAAAGTTTTCAGCATACTGACGGCCCTGCTCCAAGCGCAGCCACTGCGAACCGTCCGACAACAACAAATCCCGAGACGCAAACAAAAACAAATCCAAAGACAAAAAAAGAAGCCCAGACGAAAACACACTGCGTCGACAGCGATGTCGCTGCTTCAGCCTCTGCCCATGATTATACCCGGTAATGGGGGAGCACCAGGGTATGCTGGTACCAGAATGAGAAGTCTGGAGTATTTTTAAGTTATTCAACTTAACAAAGTAAACCCTGACAATGTAAATTTAAGAAAAATGTTGTTGGAGAATATAAAAAATATTTACATTTAAATATAGGTAATTATAATACCATAATAAAAAACACAATGACAATGCATTTCCTGCTATATCTAGAAATCTATTACAGGTAGATATAAGGAGTGAATCCGGGGTATCTGATAGTCTAGCCCCCAATAATTTTTGTCATGTTTTGTTGCGGCTTTGCCAGCTATTTGTGTAGGCAGCTCCAAGTGGGTGTAGAAATGCACACACAGCTGCAGTCGCAGTCGCCGCCGAAGTCGCAGTTGCAGTTGCAGTCGACGGTAGCAGCTCTGCTTGCTTAGTGTTTGGGCTATAGTCAAAATCATGGATCGTGAAAATCTACGGATCGCCGTCTTTTGGACGCTTCGAAGTGGGCTGCTGCTGCTTTTGCTGCCGCTGCTGCTGTATTGCATGGCCGAATGCTAAAATGCATAAAGTGCATACCAAATGCAGTTTGAGTTTTTCCACAGTGTTGCCAAATCGGTTTGGTTTTATTTTCGTCTTCTTCAATGGAAGCGAGTAAAGGCGGTGAAATATGTCAACGCCTTAACACCACCCCACCCAAGTTGCTCCACCAGTAATACGTAAATATTTATAGAAAGGGCCAGGCCATGCTAGGCTGGATAGGTGGATACATAGATACACACATAGGTGAATAGATCGCTGGCTAGATAGAGAGACTTAGCTGACGAACATATTTCACAATATTTGTGCAAGTTAAACACGGCGAGAAAATGTCAAACACGTTTCTAGCATAGTCAACGAGTCAATAAGAATTGCAGTTGACAAGCTGGCCAGGAAAGTATGCGATCACAGAATGCTCTCCAACGATGTTTACAGACCTTTTTATCATAAAATAAATATTTTGCTAAAAAATGTTTATAATTTTTCTAACAAGTATTGAGTTAATTAGATGTCTATATGGGATATATATTTCCAACTAGTAAATACTAAAACTAATTGGCAATTATAGTGACATCTGTCACATAAAACTCAACGAAATAAGTGGGTAACTACATTGCACAGTTGACATTGAGTCATGTGAGAAAAAAATTAAAAATAACGAAGTAAACATTTTCCATTGGAAACTTATCGGGAGGGAATACCACAGGAATCAGCTTACTCACTTGACACCATAATTCAAATTTTATGACTAACGATGAGACCAATTTTCAAATTCTAAGACTACATTCTCAACTTGAAAATTGTTCTAAAGATCGTAATTATATTCTAAGAAGCACCTGAGCTTTTCATAATTGATCACAGTACGATTCATACTAATTGATAGTGTTGTTATGCAACCAAAGCCTAGAGGTTTGGTTTAATTCATTGCAATGCTGTGATGATGGGCTGGCAGCTCCATCAATCACGTGTTTGTGAGCTGGCCGCACAAATGGATGGGATCTGGACTCACCTGACGCTTGAAGCGCTTGCTGGCACTGCGCCGGAGGGTGTTGCAGTTGCCGTTGGTTATGGAATGATCGATCTCCTCCACGGTGGCCGTGATAGGTGCCATGCATCGTTTACTTAGTTCCACCAACTCAGCGACTGGTTGGACCTGGATGGGTGACAAGGGAATCAAAGGTCAGAAATAAGTTTTTAAGAAGATAGAAATAATGGATACAATTTTGGAAAACATAAATATATAACTGAAGATGGTTTTACTATTTCTTTTTTCCTTTGATAAAAAAAAGAACTTTTTGGGCACGGGCGATAGCTCTTAAATTAATTTGCTAATATCTAACACAAGGAAAATAGCAAACAACTCATGCAAAACGTTAACAAATACATAAGTATTTACCTATATAATCCATAAAACAAAGACACCTTATGAAATTAAAGTTCTTATCATATCTTTTCTTATCATGTTTTTACTGTTATTCTCAGCGTATGCACATGAAAGGTATTAACTAATTCTCAGAACTACATACCTCTACAGTGACAGCCTCGCCGCTGTTCCGTATCATCTCGATGATGATCTCTCGTGACAGATCACCCACTGGCGTTCCGTTGACCTTAATGAGGCGATCGCCGGGCAGTAGACCCGTGGCTCCGCCCCCAGCACCTGGCTCAGCAAATATAACCGGCTTAAAAATGGGCGAAGTCAGCGATTCTGTTCTGTCCAAGCAGATGGCCTTGCGCAGGCTAAAGCCAAAGTCCTGGCGCGGCGACTTCTGTCGTCTAATAACGAGCTGCCTGGGAGGCGGAAGTTTTACCAGCTGCACCGGCGGCAGCGGCAGCTCCACGTCCTCGAAGGCATGAACGCGGGCCCAACGGTCGATGCCCTGTGACTCGCCAACGGGACTTAGCGAGAAGGGTGGTGTAGCGAACGAGGAGTTTGTGGTATCTGTGAGACTGTCGGCGCTGGGCGACGGCGAGGTGAGCACGTGGAGGTGCGATCCCTGACTGTTGCCCTGGGGTATAGCCCCATAGCGAGCGTTGGCCGGCAGGGTCATGGCCCGCTGCTGACCGCCGGCCTGTTCTCCATCGCTGCGCAGACTCTCTACGGAGGTAAAAGAGGTACCGTGCTGACTGGAGTTGGAGCCAATCGAGCCGGCCCCTCTTCCCACTCCCTCGTACAGCAACTCATTCTGGAAGGTATTGCGCAATAGCATCTCTGGTGTGCCGCCTGCTCCTCCAGTGCCGCCTGTAAAGCTGATCTCCTCGTGCACATTGGTCATATTGCTGCGGGAACCCTTTAGAATGCCACGTTTCGGTGGTTTTGGCGGTATAGGTGGCAGAAAACGATTCTGGAATAAGGAAGGATGTTAAGTTATATGATTATATTCAAGGAATATCCATATTACTTACCTTAAGCCCTCCGGCTAACAAAGAATGGGTGACCTCGCTGTAGTTAACACTCACGCCGGCGCCGTTGGACGCTCGGCTCTCAATGTGCGTCATCACAGATGCTACAATCTCCTCATTGCCACGATCCTGTTCGGGATCTGCAGCTCCTGCTGCTCCCCCATTGCTTCCGCCGTTTGCATCCGCATTAAGGGCAGCAAAGAAGTCTGCGCTATAGTCCGCCGTAATTCCGCTGGGTAGCTTCTCCTTTTCTTTACGCCGTCCACGGATTTTGAGAGACCGACGCACCTCATCCAGGCGGAGCAGTTCGTCCGTACTCATGCTTCCAGTAACACCAGTGACGCCTCCATTTCCACCAGTGGTGGTGCCCTTAGCCTCTTTGCGCAGCTTCTTCTCGCGTTTGCGGCGCTCCTTCTCATCATCACCGGCACTCTTCTTCATAAAGTTGAACATCTTGTGTGGTGTGTGGGGTCCTTAGGTGCTAACTGCAAAGTTCAAGGGCGTGACCAAAAGTCTGGACTAATTCGATTTGCACTGCTCTCTTTCTATCACTCTTTCTCCTCATATCTGAACAGGGGCGGATCTAGGGTAAAGTTTTTCGGGGATGCACTTGTCAAGAATGTGATTTGTTGCATTCTAAAAATAGTTATGTCTTGGTTGTATCGTTTTTATAAAGAATTGTATTATATCCTATTATTTAAAATATAGAAAACATAACATAACAAAATTAAAAAAAATATTTTTAATTGTTGGATCTTTTACTTCTCATAAAATATGAGATCATTGATCACTAATTAAAACCAGTTTCAATAAGTGTTGATATTACAATAACAAAGCAGAATCAGTCCCCTGCATCCGCCCCTGTCATTCTCTCCTGTTCTCTGTCCATTGCTATCTTTCTCTTACACACGTACAGCCCTACCGAGCAATGCACCCGCCCGCACAACAACAGTTATCTTGCAACCGTGTATGTGTAAATGTGCACATTTGCAAATCACATAAACAATGGCATATTTTCTTCACTTTTGCAGCCACATTTCTTGTGCTGCGGTGGCGGCTTTGCTTTTGTCATTGAGTCGTTGCCATTTGCCCTGTTTCTGTTATTATTTATTATTCAATTATGCGCTTTCTTTTCCATAGCTAGCATACATTTGTTTTGTTTTCACACGCACACAATAGCCAAACACACAGGCACACACATAGAAAAGGGGGGCTCGTGACTGCGTTGGTATTGATCGCCCCAGACTGCACTCTCCGCACACATCTCTTTCAATTTTCCATTTCTCCAACTAATTGAATGCACTCGATTCTGCCTTATTACTTATGCCTTTGCTATCCCAATTGCTCTTATTCGGCAATCGGTCTTATTCAGCCACAGCCCAAGTGATACACACGAAAGGCAGAAAAAGAAAGTTTCGAGTCAATAACACCTTTGTTTTTGCACTTTTCTACGCCTTTTTTGATAACACACACACACTGGCAGGCACTCACACATACGCTGGAGTTCCAATTTGTTAAATCGGGAGTGGCAGGCGATATTCTCCCTTTCGATCGGATTTCATGTTATTTACCTTGCTAATTGCCACTGGAGCACTTTTATCGCTGCCCTTTTTTTGCTTTTATTCGGCTCAAAAAAGACTTCGCGTTCTGCATAAACAAATCTGAGCAAGTGTGCCCGCCAATTTTGCTGAACGAAATACCAAAACGCGACTTCACCACTGGTAAAAATATATAGCAATTTTTGGCGGTCAACATTAGGGTACGTTAAGCTAAGACTCAAACTCCGGTAAAAAGAATTTGATATGTAAGACACAAACCAAGTAAGACATTTTAGGGCTTACAAGTTGCTAGCAGGGATGCAATAATTAAGTGCTGTAAAGGACATATATACACACTGTTCAGATTTTAACAATAACGAAGTCGCGACTTCTGCAAATGTTGGTAGATATTTTGTCCATACAAAACTTATCATAAAATTATAATTTATTATATATCAAATATATAAATAAATTTGACTAACATAACATTGCCAGATGGGGGTTTCTCAATATGAGTAATAAATTATATCGTAATTAATATGAAAACATAATTAAATTGTATATAATAGATGATGTAAATAATAATGAATTTCATTTTTCATATTTGGTAATTTTACAACATTTCAGGTGCCCATGTGGCAATACTGCAGAGTGACTATCGGAAACTATCGGCCAACTTAGTGGCAACGCAGCCCGAACTAGCTATCGAGCCAGTTATCGAAAAAAAGTGAAGCGTAAAAACTAAACGGTACATGGAAAATTTATTTTGCCTGTGTGCGTGCTTGTGTTTATGAAAAATAGGTTTTCTTAGCATTTGCAATTGGTGCAACGTCGCGTTGGAAGGCTACAAAAACAGCGAGTGGAAACGCCCGGGTGGCGGAAATAGACTGAATCTGCGTGTGTTCCAGTGCGCGAGTGCCAGTGTGTGTGTTTCGTTCCGTCCTCTGGTGTCTGGCACCTTAACACTACAACAACAACAGTAGCAACAGCAGCAGCAAAAACAACAACAACAATAGTAAGCAGTCGAGCAGCAGCAGCAACAACACACGCACAATAATAAGGCCCGTGACGTTGTCGCTGCCGTCACCATCAACAGCAAAAGACCAAATCGGGCAGAAAAACAAATAGCAATAGTAGCGAAAGGAAAAGTCGCGTTCTTTTCCAAAAGTAGGTGGGTTTTTGTCAGTTTTTCCACCAGCATTTCCACCATTTCCACGAAGTGATTTGACATGTTGCGCTGCTAGGTCGCCGCTGCCCACACACACACACACTCGCTTGCTCACTCACACCCACACGGCCAGACACTCGCATACACAAACACAAACTGACACACACTCACACACCTTTGTGGCAGACACGCGTACTGTCTGTCTCCCTCCCCCTCGCACCCACAGTCTGGCCTCGCACTTTGCAATGCAGCCATGTCTGTGTGAATGCTTAAGTATGCGAGTGACCGTCTGTGTGTGTGCGTCTGTGTGTATTTTGTCGATTTTTATTTTATGTACATTTGTTTACAGTTTTAGATAGATAGCGAAATTTGTACAGCCGGCGGCCATCCGTCGTTGACATTTTCGCAAATTGTAAATGAATATGCTTTTGCTTTTGCAGCTTTGCGAGTGTGAGTGCGAGTGCCGCCTGTGAGTCCCCTATATATGTATATTTGTATATATATTTATATATATAAACATATATGTATATACATAAGTTCATGAACAGTCGCCGCCGTCGACTTGTTTTGATTTAATTTCGCGCTAAATGCAATCGCGAACAATTTTCGCTCGTATCGCTGTGTCGCTGCGTAACATGGCGGGGAATTTCGTTTGAAGCCGAAAGTGCCAGCGGCAGCAACAACAACAACAACAGCCAGAAGGCGACGATGGCGCCTACATCTGCATGTGGGCCAGTGACTAAGAATCCAATCCAATCCAATTCGATACAATCGCAATCCCTTTGCTGGCGGCGGAAATGCCGCGAATGTTTTGCACCAGCTGCTGACGCAAGCGTCAACTGCATTTGTCATAAACATGTAAAATGACAATAACAATTGTTTACTATCAGCGTGAGATTTGCTATTTTTGGGCCGATGTATCTGGATATACTTGGCACCCTTTTTGTGGGTATTTATTTTTCTCATTTCGGGGAACTGGGAGTGCCTATTTAGTCCCTAGACTAAGATCCCCTGGGGATTCTAATATATTTGTAGTTAACCCTTTGGTAGGGTGCTTTCCCTATGTTTGTCTAAGAGTTAATAATTACACATACCAATTTCAATTTTACCTCTTACAGGCACACCATTCGCTTGTCCCTAGGGTTTGTGGAACAGCCTCAACACGAATTACTTACCGTTTGCCCTACAGCGGCGATCGACTGTGGTTGCCAGCGCCCCAGCTCCAGGATCTGCCTCAAGGATCCCGGAATCGCCTAGCACCAATACCAGCAGTAACAGCATCAACATCAACAACAGTCAGATCCAAGCCAGCCATCCAAATAACAGCCACAGCAGCGGTGGTGCAGATAACCTCAGCTGGAGGCAGCAATCCTGGCTAGACAGGAACCCCTCGGCCACCACTGACGTATCCGGTACTATGTCAAGAAACCCCATCTACGACTTGACCAACTTGGACATTGGTCCTCTGACGGAGATGTCTCAGATTATCAAAGAGGGATGGCTGATGAAGCGGGGGGAGCACATCAAGACTTGGCGACAGCGCTACTTCGTGCTTCATTCCGATGGACGACTAACAGGCTACCGAAGCAAGCCGGCAGACAGTGCCAGCGCAGCCTCAGAGTCACTGCTCAACGACTTCACGGTGCGGGGCTGTCAGATCATGACCGTGGATCGACCTAAACCATTCACCTTTATCATCCGCGGCCTACAATGGACCACGGTCATAGAAAGGACATTTGCCGTAGAATCCGAATTGGAGCGCCAACAGTGGACGGAAGCCATTCGCAACGTGTCCAGCCGGCTCGTTGATGTGGGAGAAGTGGCCATGTCGCCATCGGTTCAGACAGATATGACCGACGTGGACATGGCTGGCATCGCTGAGGTTGAGCTCTCCGAGCAGTTCTCCGTGCAGGGCACCACTTGCAACAGCAGCGGCGTTAAGAAAGTGGTAAGTTCTACTAGGTAGATCGACCACTGGGTAAAGGGGTGATTATGCTGACTTCTTATCTGACATTGCAGACATTGGAGAATTTTGAGTTCCTGAAGGTGCTCGGCAAGGGCACCTTTGGCAAGGTTATCCTGTGCCGCGAGAAGGCTACCGCCAAGCTGTTCGCGATCAAAATTCTCAAAAAGGAGGTTATCATCCAAAAGGACGAGGTGGCCCACACCTTGACCGAGAGTCGTGTGCTCAAGACCACAAATCATCCGTTCCTCATTGTAAGTATTATTGTTTAATTCATTGATTTGTAACAAAACTGACCTTTAAATCTTTTCTTTATACTACAGTCACTCAAATATTCGTTTCAAACCAACGACCGCCTGTGTTTCGTCATGCAGTACGTCAACGGCGGCGAGCTTTTTTGGCATTTAAGCCACGAACGTATCTTCACGGAGGATCGTACCCGCTTCTATGGGGCAGAAATAATTTCCGCCCTGGGCTACTTACACTCGCAGGGCATCATTTATCGCGACTTGAAGCTCGAGAATCTTTTGCTGGACAAAGATGGACACATCAAGGTCGCCGATTTTGGTCTGTGTAAGGAGGACATCACCTACGGCCGCACAACAAAAACCTTCTGCGGCACACCGGAATACCTAGCTCCGGAAGTATTAGATGATAATGACTACGGTCAGGCGGTGGACTGGTGGGGCACCGGAGTGGTTATGTACGAGATGGTAAGCCGAATGCTTCCACAGTAAATAATTGGATAAATATTAAATCAAATTTCTTTACAGATCTGTGGTCGTCTTCCGTTTTACAATCGTGATCACGATGTGCTTTTTACATTGATTTTGGTGGAGGAAGTTAAATTCCCACGCAATATCACTGATGAGGCGAAAAATCTGCTAGCAGGCCTTCTGGCTAAGGATCCCAAGAAGCGTTTAGGGGGTGGAAAGGATGATGTCAAGGAGATACAAGCACATCCATTCTTTGCGAGTATTAACTGGACAGATCTGGTGCTGAAAAAGGTAGGAACAAATGCGCCTCTTAATTAAGTATAGTCTCTAAAAGCGTTTTATATGTTTACCGTAGATACCGCCGCCTTTCAAGCCTCAGGTCACATCCGATACGGATACAAGGTACTTCGACAAGGAGTTTACGGGAGAAAGTGTGGAGTTAACGCCGCCGGATCCTACTGGGCCGTTGGGCTCCATTGCCGAAGAGCCGCTTTTCCCGCAGGTAAGGGGTCATTGAACAGATTTAAAGTGGGTCAATGTTTGCTCATTCGATTTCTTGGTTTCACCGACACAGTTCAGCTACCAAGGAGACATGGCCTCCACGTTGGGCACCTCGTCGCACATTAGTACTTCCACAAGTCTCGCATCGATGCAATAGAACAAGTTTACAAACTTTTACAAGCACACATCATGTTCTGCTTCATCACCTATTACTATACTATACCTATAACATATATAGAAATGGGCAAAAGAAAGCAAAAAGCAAGAATATATTAAATAATAATTATACCATGATAACGAAGGCAAGCACAGGGTTTTCTTGCTAGTTTATATACACCAATAATAAGAGAATTGAATTGATAGTAACTTATTTTTGTATAACGAGAAAAGGGAACGTTGAACGAAAGGGCAGCAGCCGAAGCCGAAGCCGAAGCCGAGGAAAATAATTTACTACATATGATTATACACATATATATAAATATAAATATATATATACATAAACATATATATATATATATATAATTATATATACATCTAAATATAACACTTGGGGCATTGCGCTTGAAGTGATTAGTTAATTTTAAACGCAAGTAAAACATTTAACCAAGCGACTCCAGGACGGTGCGTTTTAGTAATAGGATAAAGGCATGCATCCTAAAATCGTTTAAGTAGACGCATCGTCTGAGGGCCGCTTAAGCTGATTGATTATACAGATTATTCACGCGGACAGCACTCACACAGACACTTAGCATATAGTGAACATGAAGTTAAGTTAACTAAACAGCAACAAATCGAAATACACACATTCAACCCCGCCCCCAACACATGCAACATGCAACACTCGTATATATATACATTATTTATACTCCAAAGAAGCAAAAAGAAACAGAAATAATTACGAGTTATATATAATGTTAAAATTGCCTCTAATGTGCTGTGCTTTATGCAAAACTAAAACAACAGAAACAAACAAACTAATAGTTAATAAACGACCGAAACTTACATCAATGCAGTTTATAGGCGCCAATAAATAGCAACCAACTAAAAGTCATATTCTGGCAAAAAACATATTTCGAAAACAATAGCAGCAACAAAATTATTAAAATTGACGCCATTTTTTATTATAATTTTTTTTACGAAAATATATTTGTACATATTTATATAAAAAAAAAAAAAAAACAAAAACCTTTCAAGTGAAAAAAATTCTAAAAAAAATCAACAAAAATTTTAAGTGTCAGGTGGAGAATTGGAAATCTCCATTTTGAGGCCACCGTAAAGGTTTAACCTTTGACACAAGAAAAAAAATTATCTTTGTCATTTAATTTTTGGCATTGAAAAGTTCATAACAAGTTTTGTATACTTAGAGCAAGTCAGGCAAAAAAATATATATATATATATAAATCAACCACAACAGACTTACAAATAGTTCCAAACGGAAGATTAAAAGAAAATGATATAAACAGAAAAAAAAACCTAAAAAGAAAATAAAGAATTTTTGATATTTTTATATGCGCAATAAAAACAAAAATCAAGAAAAACACAAAAAAAAAAACAAACAAAAAGTTATTTTATATTTCGAAAAGAAAAGCAAAATAAATTTTGTAAATAAAAATTATTAAATAAATTCAAGTTCGGGCATTTCAAATGAAAAAAAAAACAAAGAATTGAAAGCATAATCTCTCTTCTAAATGTTAAACAAAACCTATCAACCGATGAACACAATAATCAAGCAAATTTGAAAACGAAGCGATTAGGAAACGATTAAAATGCCAAAGAAGCGGCAGTTGGAACTCGAGGAGAACCGACAGTTAACAGCCAGTCGGACTAGTTCGGTTTAAGTCTTGGACTTGTGATGATTCCGAATAATGACTAGGAATGAACTAACTAACTAGTTACTAGTAAAGCAGCTCAAGCCAAGGAGAGATATCAGTTAGCTCCGATCGAACCAAACTCTATATCTTTGAACAGCGCAGAGGTCCTTGCTTTCTGCTCACCAAGCTTGCGGCTGACATCTAGGCTAGCCAATATCAATCTCAGATCGATCAAGCAATACATAGACAAAATATAGAACCCCCTAAGCATGGCTTACTAGACATACAATCCGAGGAACGACTTCAACCGACACCCACTAAGAACCCTTCTGATATAGACTCGTTAGGCAAGTCAGCCAACCAGGAGATCTATAGCAAAGATTTAGGAAACTGTTAGGGACATCTGAAGTAAATTGGATACTAGCCTTAACATAGTTACCATCTCTAGTATCCCAAAATCGAAGCATTTTCCCCCCTGCCGATGGGGCAGTTGGAAATCTATAAAAATAGTTGTCTAAGTTTACTGATTTTTGTAAGACAAAATTTTTGATTTCGATTTATTAACACACACACACACACGAACTGCAAACTACAATGTGTTCTAAAGAAGAAAAAAAAGAATTAAATAAAACAAAATGGTTTAAAACATGACTATATATAGAGAGAAATACCGAGAGAGATATATCCAGTCAGATCGTAGATCAAGTCGAGCAACTTGAGTTGTTTTTTGTATTGTAGAAAGGAAAACATAACCCTGCTCCCTGTGCCCCCACAACCTAGATCCAGATCCAGATCCGAACCCCTATATTAACCGAAAATTTTGATTAGGAGTAATTTTTGATAGGCGAAACTGCGGATTTCGCAAAGTTTTAATTATTAATAATATTAAATAATGATAATAATGACTAAGCTGATTTATAAAACGATTCAAGATCGAACTAAAAAACATACATATACACCACAATGTATATTCAAAGAGGACTAACATCAACTGAGCAGCAACCATGTAGATAATGTACGATCTGCATAAGTACTATAATGATTACGATTAATTTATACGCGCTTACGCATACCAACATGCATACATTATGAGAATATATATATATATATATATATATATACAGGATATATATACGATAAGGTGTGCATGTATATTATACATGCATTCAAACCAAGTTTATTATACAGTGAAAACATAATAATAAAACTACATAAAACCAATTTTATTCGAAAAAGGGTCTTTTTGTGGAAGCTGAAAGGGGCTGTGCTCAAAATTAGATTTGTTATATACCATATTCTTTGTATCTTAATTTGTTTTACATAGCTTGGAGCTAACAGGCGTATAAACGTAACAAGAAGCAATAGATAATTCCGAGAAAAACTATAAGCTTCTTTTCAGATTACATAACTCGTGCGGAAAATTCTCAGCAATAAGAATTCTTTTCACCTCATCCTCTGGGAAAATTAGGTCAAGAAAACTATGCGAAAACGAGGGAACATCTGAAGTGGATGTGGAAATGGAGGAAGCAGAAAGCTAAAAAAAAACCCACTGGACAAGCGCCAATGACCGACTTAAATATTCGGGAGCAGCAGCAGCTGAAGTCCGAGGAGTGGGCAGTTCTGGGCAAGAGCGGTGCGTGGTTGGCCGAGGTCCGACTTCCACCTCCAGACCCCACCAAGCCGCCCAAGTTTCCCCGATCCCAGGCCAGGGAACGCGAACAATGCGTTTTGTCCGATGATTAATTGCAACGCAATCTTGGGGGCCACAGAGTCGCGGACGCAGTAGAAGCAGCTTTCCCCCAACCTCGAGTACATATACCTTGAATATACATATGTGTGTTCGCAATATATATATATATGTATATGTAGATATATAGACAGAATGTGTGTCGCTCCAGCCAGCGGATATAAGCGCGTATTTACCGCGACACAAAGCTATTAATTTTTAGCAACTGCGCCCAACCAAAAATAGCCGAGACAAAGCGAAGAAATTAAATTTCGAACGCAATGAAAGCGAAAGTGAATCGAAGTGAATCATATTGAACTTGAGATGGGTTTTATGGGCTTGGGTTGGGTTGGTTCGTTACGAGGTTGTTTCTGGGTTGGGTTTGGGTTGCATCCTTGGGCCAATACTGCTGCATTTGGCTTGTGACAGTGCCGATGGCAAGCCCTGAGTGCTTAGGAAAAGTGCGATTTGTACTTTCCCTTTTCGGAGCTGTCCATGTCGAGTTGAGCTAAACTGAGCCCCGATGGAGAGCTTATGATGGATAAGACGACAAATGAAATGGCAAACACCGAATCCAAATGAAAGCCAGCGATGGAAAAATCATTGCACCGAATGTTAGATGCTCTTGGAAGGTGTCTATTTTTTATTTTTTAAAATAAAAAAATAAGTTTTTTTTTTAATTTATTTTTTTTTTTTTTTTTAAATTTTATTTATTATATAAGGAAAGGAAAAAAAAATAAAAAAAAAAAAAATAAAAAAAAAAACTGTATAGATTGATGAAACTAACCCATGCTAATTAAAGACAAGAGCACTTGGGAAATCGAGTACGGATTTGAAAATGTGTACTATAGGCATCATCATTGTTTTCCTACCAACTTATACCCTCATCCCTCCAATGAGTTTCTGTTGGAAAGAGGGAAGCGGCTCGTTTGCTTTGTTCGCTACGCGCGTTTTTCGCGCTTTTCATTTGCCAAGCGATTTTTCTATTTTCACCTCCAGCTCTTAGGGGCTCTCTTTGGTTTATAGTAATGTGAAAATTTCTGAAACTAGAAAAATAACAAACAACTATTTGTTGTTGCTGTTGGGCAGCAGAGGCAGCAACAGCAACATCGGTTGGCATCGTGAGTATGTGCTGGCACTTAACAACTCCAGCATGGAGTCTAGGAAAAGCGGAGAAGAAAAGTGAAATACATCAAGGCACGTCACATCCATCAGACATTTATGAGCAGCACGAGAGCACGCCCCACTCCAGAGCGGTTCAGGTCTTGGACCAAGACCAAGAGCAAGACCAAAGACTAAGACCAAAGACCAGGTCCATCGAAAACAGGCTTCTCAGGCATGGCCAACCAGGCCCAAAAGCCCAGCCAAAGCGTGGCTAATGAATTGGAATTGTTTGAAAGATCAGGGGAAGGAACTGAAGAGGAGGCCCTGGTCTAAGTGTCGTCTAGCTGCAATCGAAATTAATGAAAAACTTTCGTTTATTTAATTGCACAGCCGCCCAGACAACACAGGAGATGACTAAGAAGTGTGGGGCAGGGGCTGGTTTATGGGTTATGGCCATATCAAATCCATAGGGCAAGACCAGCCAGTCGGGGGGATCCAACTCAATCCAGCCTCGACTTCGCCATCGACATCTCAGTGAAAATGATTGATTGATTGATCGGCGTTTGTTTGTTGGTTGTTAATATTATTTGCCGCCTATATACACTATATATATTCGTATATATATAGCAATCGGGGTTGTCAGTATTTGGCCGTTGTTACTCCTTTTTGGTGTAGCCGAAGATTTGTTTGACTTTTTAGCGGGGCAATTATTTATTTGTTTCGCGCATTATTCGCCGATTTCGCTGCAATTTTCGTTTGTTCGCTTTTAAGGGGATCGCTTTGGCTTATACCCGTTCATCTAACAATCTTTGATTGGAGGCTGATTGAGCGGAGGCTCTTCGGTAGCCCGGTGTCCGTCCAAACGAATGGGGAATTGATGGCTCTTCAATCCGTCGGCTAATTGCTGCCGGAGTGGGGGAAAGTGTGGCGACAAGTGATCCACTTTTTTCGAGATGAGTTATGTGTGATCTGCTAATGATCAACTAATGGCTTCAACGATGAACTACTTTGCCATTCGTCTGTAGATTATCACTTAGATAAAACGCGACTTATCCGGAATTACAACTAGTATGGTTAGACATTTGTGTAAAGAGCTCATTAGTAGTAAATATTTCTCACTAATTGAAGTACTATTTTGATATAGGATAAAGATTAAAGAAATAACAGATAGTAAGACGATTTAGTACCGTTTCCTGTCATTTGATATATTGCATTACAGAAGATATGTTAAGTTCCATACCGTTTCCTAGCAATCTTCATGAAGTTTTATCGCCCCCCCATGGACATAAAATTCTTGCAACAATCTTGGCAATTGCTACTAGTACAAACAACTTCACACACTCCAGATTCCGATTCGGTAG